TTTACACGACTTCCAAAGCTGATTTTGGGAAGAAAAGAAGATATTTTAATCTATCTGTTAATGGCAAACCTATTCGTCTGCAGCTGGATACAGCATCTGATATTACTTTAATTTCTCGACACACATGGTGCACACTTGGGTGCCCATAGATCCAGCCAACTGACCATATTGCTAGAAGTGTTTCTGGCGATGTCTTAAAACTGGTTGGTGAGATTAGTTGACATATTCAATTTGCTGATCATAAATTCAATGACGTCTGTTACCTAACAAATCATCATGGTTTAGACGTACTTGGTTTGGGTTGGATTCACAAGCTTGATATCTAGAATGTTCCATTGAATTCAGTATGTTCTGATACGTCACCCTCTCATAATGAGGTTCCGTCTTATAAGCCGGATAAGTCTCATTCAGAACACTCGCTCTAGAGGCATGCACCATTCTCTGTTGCAAAGTAAAGGGGGAAGAGGCGACGAAGAAAATTTCCGAGTTTTGCTGTCTCACCCTACGGAAGCAAATCTTCAGCCCCGAGTCAGTTGTCGCCTGAAGAAGGCCAAAGCCCTTCCAACCGGACCATAAAAAGACGTCGTACACTCTTTACGGGGGAGGTAGGACGTAGCGACAGAAGGCAGCCAATAGGGGAGTTCTTTTCAAGTCATGATCAGATCGTGACTTATGCGTGCGCTCAGATAAGAACCTCATACGACAAATCGGATTAGTTCATTTATGGCTTCACTTTCTGAGAGTTTTGTAAATACATATATGTCATGTATTTGCCTAATAAAAGGTGTCGTTGTTCTTGCAGTCACAGGCCGTCTTTGTCTTCTGATTTTTTCGTGGCTCAGTGAAGCAAAAGGTGCTGAGGGGGGGTCAGTCGTAAAGGTATTCGGTTGAGGTGTCTATTGAGTCTCAGTATCATTATACCCATGCACGTAACCACCACTCGGCCACAACAAGTATCGATCGTAGGCAGCTGTTGATAAATGTCTACAGTTTGTTGGAAATGCTTTTCGTAACGCGCCAAGTTTCTGAACTATATAGAAGCACTGACTTAACCGAGTTAGTGTTGAAAATCTGGATCTTGTTCACGCTTTATTCTGAGTGGAGTGCAGTAGATCTCCACACTGGTTTCAGATTAGTGAAAGCCTGTTTTGCTGTCTTTCCGATCCTGGTTTTGACATTCTCGTCTATGCCGCCTGTATTTAAAACGATGCTGTCTAGGTAGGTGAAAGAGGCTACTTCCTTTAGGTTTCTCCCGTTAATGGTGATTGGTGCTTGTTGTTGATATTGTTGTTGGTTGGGTATCTTCATCACCTCCGTCTTCTCTTCGTTTACTTGAAGTCCCGCCTTCGCTGCCTCTCCTGTCAACTTGTTGGATTTTGCCTGTAGACCTTCGAGTTTGCGCGATAAGACACTAGACATAAATCATCATCGGCGAAATCCAAATCTTCTAGGGTCTCTCCATCGGTCCAGTGTATACCTCTCTTCTAGCTCCTTGCAGTTTGTTGCATGATCCAGGCCACTCCATCACAATGAGGAAGATCATCGGTGATAGTAGGCACCCTTGTCTTACTCCTATCTCCACTTCAAAGGCATCACTGAGCTTTTCATTGTGAATTACCTTGGTATGTAGCGCTGTCATATAGTTGTTGAATGAGATTGATAAAGGTTTGGGGTATTCCGTAGTGTCGAGGCAGTTGCCAAATTACTTCTCGGTCGACGCTGTTGAAGGCCTTTTCAAAGTCGATGAAGTTGAAGTAGAGAGTTGACTGCCATTCTATGCTCATTTAAAACTAGTAGGTGACTAAATAAAAGAATTTCACTCAGGAAAGTTTCTGTGTTACTTTGGTCGAAGATTACTTTCGATTCAGACAAAAACACAATATGCTTTGATGGGTAAACGCAAAAGCTCCAAAAGGTTTACTATACGAACAAAAGTCACTCTCTTTTCAAAGTTGAAGCTTAGGAATAATTTAGAAAATTGACTTCGAAATCACACTAAAGATAACTGGATTCTATCAAACAGTGGAAAGCAAACGGCACTTCACATAAGAAATTATTCTTATACAGCTTATTAAGTTTTCCAAGTATACTCAGCAGACAATGGATTGTATATTACGACGTTAAACCTTACTTCAGTTAAAGCAGAAGTAGGTTTTTAGCTAATCTGGCATTTCTTGTAGTTGATCACATTTTTCCACCAAGAGCAACAACTTATTTCAATTCTGGTTAAAACCGTAAATTGCATTCTCCCCTTCTTGAACAGCGAAAACAAACAAGACTACTTCAAAGGGTATGTCAAGGTGGGTCACTTAACTAGTTCATGGAACGCATTGTAGGTCTAAACATGTGTCACCTGAATTATAGGAGACAGTAGTAGTATCAATACTCTACTGTTTTTGTCCTTTTCAGCACGCACTGAAAATCAACCATAGTGTCAGGCTGGGAGAAAAAACTATCAGTTATAAATTGAGTACAACAAGATCAGTTGCAGATGTGGTTTCTACTTTTTAAGATTGAAAGGTACTACTACATTAATTTATCTTATTTCAGTCCTTTGTATGCAGATACTAAATTTACTATATTTCAGCATGAAATAACGTTTTGGTTTACGAGTAACTTCTCAAGTTGATATTCATCATGGACTGACATCAATTGGAGGAACATTAGGAGCACTGTTTCATCCTAGTATGGGACTCCTCAGCAATGTGCACCCATGACTCCGCCAGGAATCGAAAGCAAGACCTACAGGCTCCGTGGCCAGAACGTTACCACTGAGCCATTGGATTGGAATCCACTGGTCCATATTTCCAACTTCTGTCAGTTCACGACAGCGCGACCATCAGCCAATATCATCGTTGAGTATTTGTCCTCACGGCCACCAGGTTTACAAGTCATTTACGGTGTATGTAGATCAGTATATAAAGGAATCAATAGACCAACAGTTTTAAATCGAGACATTATAGACTGACTAACAAAACCAACATAGAACCGCACACACAGGTAGATCGGCTCAAGTTGCCACACTTCACAGTAGTACACAAAGAACAAAACATCGTGGAAGCCTCTTGTGTTACATCTTTGATCGTCTCAGACAGTTTGCTTCATTGTTTCGCAGGGAATACTTGGTTTCTCTAACACTATTCTTGTTTGTATTCTCTGTTGTGTTTGCTTCATGCGTTGATAGGGAATATGTTGACTGATTGATCGTCAGTTTCACAAGATTATACAGTTTCTTAGCTTAAATACACTTTGATGTTAGCTATTTAACATAAAGAACGGCATCCAGAAAGGGTGAGGAGAGGTAGTCGGAGTTGAAGGTTTTAGGTTATGTGTCTTATGAAGAAAAAAGAATCCAGTTACAGTCATTTGCTATACAAAGACAACTCTTCTTCACTGTGCTAATATACAGAAGAATTTGTTCTCCTTCACAACAGTTGTAGAGTAGTTTCCCTACATACCTTCATTCAACTTTCCAGCTAGATACATTACCAAATTGTTAACAGTGGAATATAGAGCCTAACCACTATAATCCTGAGATTCAGGGATATTTAGGAGCGCGTCTATTAGACGTATTTCCAGACGGTGTATGAATGAAAGATTTACATTCGCCAATCATGCTTAACAAGAAACTAAAGGTCAGTGTAGCAGCAAGTCCGTAAAGATATTTGAGAGTATAGGGGATGAGACCCACATATCCTATAGGGTTATATCTATTTATTTACACGTAGCAGTAGCTTTAGAGACAAATTTGTTGTAGGTTGAAGCATGTAATGCTAGTATTTTCGATAAATTCCTCCCTGAAGTTAATTAGACATCAAGACAGTATGATTAAATTTAAGATGGATTAACAAAGACCGTAGTTCTTATCAAAGACTGGTTTTTTGTTTAGAAATGGATAATGTAACTTTTAGGGAGCAACTAATCACGAAAATCTTTGGGAATAGAGATATATTCAAATCTCATAACCTAATTTAATGGTGTCGAATACTATCGCTAAATTTTTGGCATGCAATGCATTCAAATTATATGATGCATCGGTTTTTATATAATATCACTCTTTTGACAGGTAAGACAATGTGAAGTATTTTCCCTGACGGACTGACAAAATCGACATAGAAACTCGCGCACAGGTGCACCGGCTGAAGTTGCCGCACTTCACAGGAGCTCACAAAGAACAGGTAGATAGAAAAAGACTGATATCAAAGTAGATAAAGTTGTGTGAGAGGATGAGCAATCTGAAGATAACAGTTAATGCTGATTTCCAAGCTTTAGAAAGTGTTAGGTAGTGAATATATATCTGTGCCATTGTGACCGATTTTCAGCCATATCACCAAGAGACCCCAATCACTGATTCCCTCCGTCTAAAGGACCCCAACATCGCCCTACACGACTCAGACCCAGAGTAAGAGATTGAGGCCATGTCTTGGTCTAGCCACCCTGAACCTCTTTCCATCCTGGTCCAACTTGCCTTAGCATGGCATATCGAGGTAGGCGGTGACTCGGCATACACAGTACATGTCCAAGCCATTTCAGTCGACTAGGCTTCAAAACCTCACCAATCAACTTGCCTAATACCCTTCGCCTGACATTGCTCACACGATGATTTTACCAAACGCAAGCAATACTAAAAAGACACCTATGGCTGAAAAACTGTAACTGTTTCACGTCTCCTATTTTTAACGACCATGTCTCACAGCTATACAACAAGATAGGATGGACTGCAGCGTAGCATACTTGTCCTTTGATAGATAGTCGGATGTCTTACCGACGCCACAAGTGACGCAAGTTGGCGAACACCAAACAGGCCTTCTGTATCCGAGCTGAGACCTCACCAGCGACCAGCCCGTTCAGATGTCTCACTAGTTCATCTAAGTGGTAAAGGCTGTGGTATGCACTAAAAAATTGTAATTGTATTTCCCAATAACTTGTGTGACATCCCTTTTATTTTATTAACTTTCAAAGCTAGTTAGCCCTTATTCTCTACTATCCTTCTCCTATAGAACTGCTGGAACCTAAGCTCCAATGATTGTTGTCATCATGGGGCCATGCGGTTGCGGGAAATCGACAATAGGTAGTGCACTATCAAGTCGTATCTTCTGGCCGTTCATAGAAGGTGATGATTACCATACTGAAAGTAATCGAATAAGAATGTCTCAGGGGACGCCATTGAATGATGAAGACCGTCTACCATGGCTTCAACGTCTAAAAACTGAGTTTTCACAATATAAAAATGCTGTAGTAGCATGTAGTGCATTAAAACAGTCTTATCGTAATATTTTATCAGATAATGACAATGAAAATAATCAGATAAGAATACTTTTTGTTTTGCTACAAGCAGATAAAAATCTGTTACAACAACGCATAAACAATCGTAAAGGTCACTTCATTGATCCTACACTTGTTCAAAGTCAGCTGGAAATACTGGAACCATTTGGAAAAGAAGAAGAAAACCTAATCATAGATGCCAATGAATCTCCTAATGATATCATTCAACAGATAATGAAAAAACTAACTTTATAAGAAAACTTTCTGAAGCAATTCACATGATTTGAAGGGAGACCTACTGGAGTTCGCATTGTATTCAGAAATATTATTAAAAGTATTTTTAAAAGACACATTTTTGTATCGCCTCTCGTTGGTAGTATTCGGTAATAAATACAAATATATAACATAGACATTGATGTTAGTAGATGCTTCGTTCGTTTTTGAGACATTGGTTTACTTCACTTGCAGTATCTTCCACAAAATGTAATTCTATTGGAGCCTATTTGATATCTAGCGGTGGAACCCAGGACACGTGTTTCGTCTTCTTTGTGACTCGTCAGCCGGATGTGCTTGTATTCCAATGAGTGATATTGTTTCCACTGAGACTAAAACCTAGTACATATCGCTATTGGATAACACTTTGGTGTTTAAAGCGATGACTACCGGGTTCGAGTCTCAGTGGGAAAAGCACTGTTGGTCACCAAAGTGAATATTTGCTTATATGTTAACAATACTGCACATAGGACAAGTTTCAAATGTGCTTAGAAGAGTACTACCGTGAAAAAGTATTGGTTTACATATTTATGGAATTAAAGTGACTTCAACTGATAGTCATCAGTGATGTATTAATGTTTCCACTTTGAAGCCTTATAAAATAAATGACTAGCAAAAGATTGAAGACTATCATGTTCAGATATCTTTATTTTATTTATCTTGATTATAGTTAACAGCATCTGTGTAGAATACTAAATTATTAATGCAAACTGAAGTCAATGACATCCTGTTAGGCACAAATAACTTGGAACAAAAGGCTGTTGCAAATGGATAGTAATATAACTGTACTACTTTGAAACTATTCAGATAGACAAGTAATTCATGCTTTAAAGCTAACACTAGGGATTAGATTAGTCGCATAGCTGAAGAGATAATATTATTGTTCTTATGAAAGTATAGACATCATGCTATGTGAAAATGGTTAGGCAGGACTGTTGAGGCGAAGAATATATGGAGATGGTATGAACTTATTGATCTAATTAGAGGCGAAAATGTACAGGATAAAACAGTGTTTTAGATGGATACTCACAATCTACCAACATTCTTGTGATTGAAATAGTCGATTATTTATTTGATACTGTCATGCTTCGGAAACTGGTATATGCTATAACCTCTAACGATGCACGGGTATCAAGCGTCAGCCACCAACATTCAACAAAGTCCTAGTTAATTTCCGACCCGATTAATTAGTAGAGAAGACATGGTGGACGTGAAGAAACGTGTATTTGGGTCGAAAAACCAAACACCAAAAACAGGAAAATACAACTAATATATATTACTATTTATTGACATACTTGTTATTCTACGTTGTTTTGTTTGATCGAATTGTTCGACCTCTGTTGGCATATGGGGTCCTATGCGGATGCCTCGATATTGCCTGAATGTTAATTATGATAATCTGGTTGGTTGTGGCTAGCAGAAGAATCCAGGATGCGCGTTTCGTGCTACTTGGGACTCATCAACTGGATGTACCTGCACCCCAGTTATGTTGTTCCCAATGGGGTGCAGGTACATCCAGCTGACGAGTTCCAAATAGGAGGAAATGCGCGTCCTGGATTCTCCCGCTAGTCACAACCAACCAGATTATCATAATATATAAACAGTTCACTGTTTAAAATAATAATATTGATTGGTTGATCCAGCGTGTCTGTCTAACAGCCGTAAAAACATAAAGTATATTTTGATTTGGTCGCTCTCTAGTCTTTCCTCTCTATCCCCATATGAAATATGATAACGGAGATGACGATGGGTCTATATTACAGGAAGGACCGAAAGCCTTTAATTGATACCAACTAGGAACGTCCAGTTTGAATTTAGTGAAGAACTACATAGGAAAACAAGTGAAACTGCATTAGGTGTCTTTTGTGGACTATTGCTCGGATGTCTTCATGGTCAGATTGGAGAATAACACTAATAATCAGGTATAGAGACTATCAAATTATCTAGTGATATATGCGACAATAAATTCGTTCAAAACCAGGATCGGAAAAGCAAGACAGACCTTCATTAACCTGAAACCAGTGTGGAGATCTTTTGCACTCAGTATGTGGAATAAGATCCGGATCTTCAACACCCACGTCAAATCAGTGCTTCTGTATAGCTCAGAGACTTGGTACGTTACGAAAGGCATTTCCGATAAACTACAGACATTCATCAACAACTAGTGCCTACTCTCACTCGATACTGAAGATCAGATGGCCAGAACTATAAGAATAAGCAAGAAGGAACTCTGGCTGTCAACGAACCAACGGAGCAAAGACCTACCACCCAACAAATATGTAGAAGGAAGTGGCGATGGATTGGATTTGGCATACACTGAGAAGGCCGACTGAGGACATCACGCGCCAGGCCAGGCCGTCGAGTGGAATCCAAAGGGGAAACGACGAGTTGGGCGTCTGAGGTGAGGGTAACATGGAGGAGATCATGTGAGGAAGAAATGAGAGCTTCTGGGCTGTCGTGGAACCAGGTCTAAAAGTTTGCAGAGAACAGAGTGGAATGGAGACGTGCTATTGAAGACCTATGTTCCATTAGGAACCCAAGGGACAAATAATAATAATAATAAATGCAGAAAAGAAATAAAGATACTAGACTTGTCAACAGAAGTTAATAATGCTCATATAATGATGACTTTTATACGTGAAATTGAAAATAAAGTCCCATTCTTCTACATTTTGGTCAGTAAACAAGATAAAAAGCGTTACAATTCAATACACATAAATTATACATAGACATCGAAATACACTCAGTTTTGTAGTTTCATTCTACTGTTACAAATGAGTGGTTTGATCAGGTGCTTAAGTAACAGGGTTAGAAAAATATATTCCAACGTCATGTTAGGTAATAAAGTGGGGAAGCTTATCAATATATTTTCATAAAACTGTTGTCCAGACTAAATCATCTATAGAAATATGATGAAGAGGGTTCGAAAAGTGGAGATGAACAGTTACCAAGAAAACATTATGTCTGACTTTACAATACATAAGGTACATATTTCAGATGTACTGATAAACCGTTTATGCAGAAACCTAAGAAAGAATTCACCTGCAACTGCATTAAAGATTTACTTTACAAGTAGAACCATTTTACCTTCGAGTAGAAGCGTAAGAATCCCTCATTTGTACAAGTCAATGTACATATGAGTTTAACTCCTTTTGTGGAGTATAAATGACCTCATATGTATTATAAGGACACCATATTTTGAAAAAAATGAAGTGAAAACGATCAGTAGGTCTGATTGATAGTGACCATTCAATAGCAATTACGACGGCTATAACAGTTTTCCATCAAGTCCTGAACCAACTGCTGCATGGGTTGCGCCTTCATCTTTTCTAGACATTTGAAACGGTTGTCATTAAGGTAGAAAAAATTTGTCTAAACACTTGGCATTTAATAACGTTTATATCAATTAATCACCTTGAATATCGTTTATTTCTTTTTGTATACTTTAAGCAACTGTTTGTGCAATTCGTTATTCTTACTACAGTTATTCCGTATCCCAATTTTGGCTTTACACTTTACACAATCTCCTCATGTATATAAACTCAGTAGTAGACGTAATCCAATTCAATTACGAGGTAGAAAATGAACAAAGAGGATTACCTATGTTGGATGGCAGGATGAAACGAAGAACAGACGGTGGTTTGGATACTACTGTCTACAGAAAACCGACACATTCGAACAGGTGTCTAGACTTCAAGTTATCTCATCCAATTGATATCAGTTAAGACAGGTTTAGTCAAATGTCTAGATGATAGAACTAGAAAAGTAACTAGTCAGTGCAAGGAATCGAAACATGTAAAAGAAGCGCTAATGGTTAATAGTTATCCTCCACCCTATAAAGAAGGTACATCAGAAACTTTACGTAGGATCCTTAACAAGCTAGAATTAGGGTGGCATTTAAACTTAAAAATTCACTCAGAGATAAGCTTTGTCGGCTTAAGAACCCGATAGAACCAATTAAGGAAAATAATCTAATCTATCGAATTCCATGTTATCACTGCAGGTCCAAGTACATAGGTTAAACTAGCCAGTCAGGGTCAGTTAGAATAGGAGAACATAGGAATTTAGCAAAATATAGAATGACAGACCCTTATAAAACCAATAATCTAGAAAAAAAGACTCGACTATTGCTACGCATGCATTAACACAACCACATAATAGGGTGGGATAAAACCACTGTACTGAAGGCCAATATAATTAAGTGGAGAGAGAGATTGATTATTGAATAATCTTTGTTCACGGAATCTAAACTCAACACATGTAGTAGGAATAGCTCAGGACATGTACCAGAGATATAGAAAACCTCACTACCAATAAAAAGCAAAGAATAGGAGGTGATAAGACTATAAAAAGGAGATATCGAAAGTAGTATGATTACACTGAAGTGACTATGAGCAATAATTTATATTCGAAACATTATCAGATAAATAATACTGTGTCACTGTGCACTATATATCAAATAAACAAATCTAATATAGAATTATCTTCTAACACAGTGCTCAAGTTTTACACCTATATTAATTTACACTTGCCGTCTGATCAGATATCCATGAGTTATTGAGTTTTTATTTCGCTTTATACCACTACCAAGTACTCAGTTATGTAACATCAATGTCGTCTCCAAGCTGACGGTCATGGGGAAAACGTGGGGACGTTAGAGGGGAAATGGGGACAAAGAGATGGGATGGGGAAACAGAGCATCTAAATATCGGAATCATGGGGGAAAAATGAGGATAAGGGGAAGCCGTGGGGACAAACCCCTCAAGTGCGGACATGCAATGCTGTTGTTTTGTTGCATTTCCTCATTTCCCCCCCCCTTTCGCTCACCATAAGTTCTCCCCACGTTTTCCCCCATTTCGGTCAATTTGGGTTTCCCTAAGTTGCTACTTTTATATTTACTATTAGCCTATAAACATACCATAACCTCGCCTGGTTAACTAGTTTACTAGTTACCAGCCAGTCGTAGGCCCGGGTTGGGCATAGGACTAGCAACCCTACGCCGTAAAACCAATCCAACCGCTACAGAAACTTTAAAGCACAGACAAAATATAAAAAAATAAAAACAAACTTATTCCTTGCTGGAATCGGAGAGAAATTGTATGTTAGATTCTCCTTAAGACTGTGGTTAAAGTGGTATTCAAATATGCACGTTTACTCAGAAACAATCTTCATGAACTTAAGGATGCTGCTGATACAATTACAACGGATGATTCAAACTATCAAATATCATGTAATGAATTTACGTTCGAGTACATAGGTCAAAACAGTTAGTTTTCTACAGATCATTCCCGAATAGTTGATTAATACTTGCAATTTCCCGTTACTATATTGGGTCAAGTTACTCGATCTAGACAAAACAGTCCAAGTCGATTGATGAAGCTGTGAACCTTGGTCGACTAAGATGGCTTACACGTGTACTGTGCATACCAAGTCACCGTCTACATTGATGTGCCATACTAGACGAAGCTGGATTATTAATATATATAATTAAAACAAAGGCAATACTGAAGCATCTGGACAGGAGCCCATATGTCAATGGAGACTGATCGATTCGGTCTCATCAACGACGGTATAATACAAGCAATAACACTAAAACTATATCCGTCTCACAAGAAGAGGCTATCGTGGCTCGGTGGTCTAGTGAATAACGCTCTCGCGTCTGAAGCGATCGGTCCCAAGTTCGAGCCTTAGTGGGAACGACATCACTCACTGGGGGTGCAGATAAATCCAGCTGACGAGTCCCAGATAGGATGAAACGCGCATCCTGGATTCTACTGCTAGCCACTATCCGTCATTAATATATAAAAGGTGGGTTATGTTAGAATAGGGTTCCGGGGAGGGGGGGAGGTAAACGATGATTTGACACCAGTCGACGAAGTCTGTTACTCTTGATCTGGTTCGCATGGGGAGATGTTGACTTCCTGTTTGGGGTCCTTGAGACGATAGTCTATTAGGCAAAAACTGAAATAAATTGAAGACAGACTTTGATTTTACTTCGGTGACCAAGGTAATGACAAGTTGTACAAATTTCTTGTGAATACGAAAATACAGTTTGTGGAGGTGTACGGTAACAGCTTTTGGTGTATATAGCGGGCAAATACGTGGACCAGGCTGAAGACGGATGGTATGAGGTAAATAACTGCAAGCACCTTGCTTGTGTTCAATAAGTGTCCAGGATCCATCACATGAGAAAGTATTGAGCTTCTTGTTGCTTTTATTTGTCCTTTACTCAGCCATGCTGGATGGTGTTCAGACATTCTACGATAGACTTGCCTGGTCAAATGCCCTATGCAACTAACTCCACAGAATAGGCAGAATCTGGAAGTCTGTCTTTATACCTTGCATTTATCGTTGGCTAACTGTATCACTGTGTACTTTATCAAGTAAAGTTACCTTTTATTCAGAATAACACCATAGCCATGTTCGAGTTCTTTACTTACACTTAACGTAGAAATTTGATGCTCACAAGTTAGGAACAGGACTGTTACTATTATTACGTATGTTTTACGGCTTGTGAGACATGACCATTAAAAGTAGGAGGCACGAAGCGGTTACAGATGTCTTTGTACCATTGGTGGCCTTTCGTGGGATCACTAGATGAGCAATGACAGGCGAAGGGTATTAGCTACGACAGACAAGTCGATTAATGATCCTGTGAGCCCTAGTCGACTTAAATGACTTAGATATGTAGTGTGCATGCCGAGTCACCGCTTACCTCAATGTACCGTGCTATTGGAAGCTGCATTAATTTGGAAGAGCGTTCAGAGTGGCCAGACCAAGACGAGGCACTAGTCGACGAAGTCTCTTACTCTTGGGGAGACGCGGACTACCTCGATTGAGTCCCCGAGACGACAGAAATCAGTGGTTGAGGACACTTGGTGACATGGCTGGAAACTAATCACTACTTGACATCTTCTAAAGCTTGAAAATCAGCATTAACGGTTATCTTCAGATTACTTATTCTCTTACACAACTTTACCTACTTTGATATCAGTCTTTTTCTACCTACCTGTTGTTTGTGTACTGCTGTAAAGTGTATCAACTTGAGGCGATGACAATAATGTTATCTTTCCACTTGAGGCACTACTAATATAACCCCTAGTGTTGGCTTTATAGTATGAATTACTTGGCTTGTTGATTGACATTGGTAAAAGTACATGTACATCTATTTGACGAATCCCAAATAGGAGGAAACGCGTGTCTTGGAATCTTTTACTGGTCACAAACAAGTAAATTACCTTAATTAACATTCAGGCAATATCGAGGCATCCATATAGGAGTCCATGTACCAACAGGCATCGAACAATTCGATTTTGTGTAACAACGGAGAATTACAAGTATATCAACAAATATAGTAATGATGGATAGTGGTTAGCAGTGGAATCCAAGATGCGCGTTTCGTCCTGTGTGGGACTCGTCAGCTGGATTTACCTGCACCCCCAGTGAGTGTTGTCCCCACCGAGATTCGGACTAGGGAGCGATCGCTTCAAACACCAGAGCGTTATTCACTAGACCATCGAGCCACGATAGCCTCTTCTTGTGCGACGGGTATAGTTTTAGCGTTATTGCCTGTATTACACCATCGTTGATGAGACCGAATTGATCAGTCTCTGTTGGCATATGGGCTCCTATGCGGATGCCTCAATATTGTCTGTGTTTTAATTATGTATGACGAAATCCACATCCTGGATTCCACTGCTAGCCACTATCCATCTCTAATATGATTAGAACACAGGTAATATCGAGGCATCCGCACAGGAGCCCATATGTCAACAAAGACTCATCAACGACGGTGTAATACAAACAATAACACTATATCAACAAATAATTGTAAAAATTTATATTTATATGTGTTTTTCAAATTGAATTCAGTTATCTATCAACAACTTTTTCATCTTCTAAATCACTTGATGATGATGATGATAAGTCACTATTGAATCGATTAATTAGTTGATCAAGTTTACGTATTGATTGATCAACATCTAAAAGAAAATGTAATTAGACAAGAACTTAACTTACCAATATGATTTGCAAATGTAGGTATAATTGGTTTTGTCATATTTTGAATAATATCTGATGATTTTGGTATATTATCATAGCAATGATAAGATTCTGGATAGAATGAATGAAGTGCATTTTCTAAAGTTTGAATTTTTGATTTGTAATTATTTTCCATATCATTTATCTGTTTTATATGTAATTAATGCAATAAAACAAAACTAGTTACTATATTCAATTAAAATCATGATAAATGAGAAATTTAATCTAGTTTAATACACTATTTCAAATTACTAATCATATTTTTTTGTACACCATAGTGATTAAATTATACATATTTAGTATAATAATATATAAGATAAAGTTTATTCAGCAAAATGATACATATATGGTTAGCCAACACTTAAAAATGTGTGAATAACAGGCTATAGGAAACAGTAAAAAGCTGTACAGTTGTTATTTCTTGACAAGAGTTTTGTATACGTATTTTATGCGTACTAGATGGTATTCATTATGGGTTAACATCAATTGGAGAATCATTGAAAACCTGGGAGTATTGAATATCTGTTTCATCCTAGTATAGGATTCTTAAGCAGTACACATCTATGATCCCATCAGAGGTTGAACCCAAGGCCTTAAAGTTTCACTGCAAGCATGCTATTGAGTTGTAATCCTATGGTTCAGATTTTATCTGGTTCTATTAATTCACGATATAGAACGACCTTCATCATGCTCCATGAAACTCATTTAAGAGGAGATCCATAAAGTAGATCTCATCACTTTATAACACCTACTTCTGATTATTGTATTAGATAACTTGGTGATTTGATCATATCTGTAAAGACAAATGAGTTGATTAGTTTGAACAGTTGCGTTAAGAATTACTGAGCGAAGAAAGTAGACGACATGAAGCAGTTGCAAGGTTTCGCATTTGGTGGAATCACTGTGTGACCAATGTTAAGGTTAGGCGAAAGGTACCAGGTAAGTCAGTCAATCAAGTTATGAACCTTAATCGACTGAGATGGTTTGGATATGTATTGTGTATGGCGAGCCAACGCCTACCTCGACTTGTCATACTAGGAAAAGTTGGATTAGGATGGAAAACGGTTCAGGATGACCAAACCAAGACATTATACTGGTCGATGAAGTCCCTGACTTTGTGAAGAGATGTAGACTGCCTGGTTGAAGTCCCTGAGATGAAAGGAATCAGTGGTTGAGGACTCGGATGAAAATCGGTTGCAATTATCGCAGATGCATTCACTCTTTGACGTTTTCTAAAGCTTGAATATTCACACTAACCGTTATCTTCAGATGGTCTATTCTCCCAAACTACTTTATCTACTGTGATATCACTCTTTTTCTATCTACCTATTCGTTGTGTACTTCTGTGAAGTGTGGCAACGTGAGGAGAAGGATTTGTATCCGAGATTCTACGTTGATTTTTTCAGTTCGAAGATATATAGAAATAAGTCGACGCTGGAATAGGTTAACTGAATTTAGGTGGATTTTCACAATAAAAATATCAGTGTTATGAATAGTTGTGGAGTCAGTGATAGTTGTAAGCATGCATTGTATGATAGAAGACTATTAAAACTATGTCAATGTATTTCAGTTTCAGTGGTTAAAAGGTTATTCTATGGGTGGGAAATTGAACGGAAAGTATAGTGGTAGGTTATGATTACGAAAGTGATAGCGTCAACAAAGCATAAGGTTTATAACTGATAATTTATTGGTAAATAAGTAGTCAATGCCTTTCACATTACCAAAATATTACCTATTGCCAGCTTGTTCTGAATTTTTCAATGGATTTACAAAGAATAAATTTCTAAAGTTATAAGAGTGTTTTATACATACTATACGTGGTGATTGTTTATGAAATAAGCTGAGTATAGGCTGTTAACAATGCTAATATGATGGTGATAACGACTGATGATTTTATTCTTTGAAAATTTCATGATATACTTCAAAATTTATTGTGTCCAAATAAAAGTAACTTGATAAGAAATGCAAACTATTTTATTTCAAGTTGTTATTCATCGAAGACTGACATCAGTTGGAGGAACGAAGGAAACCTGGGAGAACTGGACAGCTGTTTCGTCCTAGCATGGGACTCCTCAGCAGTGCGCACCCACGACTCCACCAGCAGGGATCGAACCCGCGACCTTCAGGTTCCGCGACCAGCGCGTTACCATTGAGCCACTGGGTCAGGATCCAATGCTCCATATTTCCAACTTCTGTTAGCTCACGATATAGCGCAGACCGCCACCCAATGTCATCGTTGAGTATTTGTCCTCACGGCCATCAGGCTTTGACTCCACCGGTCACTCCAACTGATGTCAGTCTTCGATGAATAACAACTTGAAATAATTCCAAATCTCCACAACCCCTCAAAATTTAAGTAAACTATTTTATGTCTGAAAGAAAGTCTCTAATCCAAAATGATTTATGTCACGTAGCGACAAAAGGCAGCCAATAGGGGGAGTTGTTTTCAAGTCATGATCAGATCATGATTTTATGCATGCGCTGACATAAGAACCTGATTGGGAAAATTCGACCTCACACAAGAAATCTGATTGGTTTATTTATAGCTTTACTTTCTGAGAGTTTTGTGAATACATATATGTCATGTATTTGCCCAATAAAAGGTGTCGTTGTTCTTGCAGTCACAGGCCGTCTTTGTCTTCTGATTTTTCCGTGGCTCAGTGAAGCAGAAGGTACTGAGGGAGGTCAGTCGTAAAGGTATTCGGTTGAGGTGTCTATTGAGTCTCAGTATCATTATAACCACCACTCGGTCAGAAGAATTTATTTGTGAAACTTCTATTATTTTCCAAGATATCATCAACCGAATTTTATTCATAACTTTTAGAACCTAATGATTTAGTTATCCCAGCTCAAAAAAATACAATATCACACAAGTTTTCCCCTTCTGAGATTCAAATATTTCCGATTATTTCTATCTAGAATACTTGGGTTTGAAAAAAAAGTGACTGGAATTTCTATAAAAAATTAAGTTCCCATAAGAAAAATTCTATTTCACCTGCTGGTTTTTCAGTATGTGATTGTTAATTGAGTCACGTGTGTATGAGAACACTTTTTAAGTTCATTCTAAGTAGAAGCAGTGAATCGATCATTGTTAGAATATCCATCCTGGAAGTTATCTAGGGTCCATGAAAATATCCGAAATAAATATAAGCTACATTATAGTAAGGTATATGAGAGTTGTCAGATAGTATGGAGCCTAGAGTTTCATAAAACCTAAAAACGTCTGAAGTTCTTCTATTCTTGGTACGCGATAATTTAGGGTTCAGGGGAAAATTGTTTAAAAATGAGCCTAAATAATTAGTTGTAGGCTTCTTGAAGAAAGGTGTTTTACAAGTCAACTGGAAGGGATACGCTAAGATAATAATAATAATAATAATAATAATAATAATAATAATAATAATAATAATAATAACAATAATAATAATAATAACAATAACAATAATAGTAATAATAATAATAGTAATGACAACAATAATAATCGTCAACTTTCAACCGGATCACTCTCAGCATATCCCTGTAATATCCTAAGCAGGAAACTGTCCATTGAGTAGAATGATTTGAATACATTTTTACATAACATTAAAGAAATAAGAAACTGCTTTCTCGGCAAACTATAATTTTTCTAATTCTTAGCTTGAACTCAAAGTAACCAGTATTAAAGCTTGGTTCTAATTTGACTGTTACATTGGTGTAGTATTTCACTGATGGAATGCAACTTAATAATCACAAGATATTGATTTGTGTTAAGTGGGGCTGTGGTTTATTGATGCATAGGTTCAAACCTTACTCCATGTACTAAGGTTTGGGCAAACAAGTAGTAGTAGTACTGTCATAAGCTTATTGTCTACTTCACGAATATGCACAAAGTTTTTGAGTAGATTTCTACTCGATTCGATTTCCGTTAGAAGTATCGGCGATAAACATTTTTTTTAAAAATAGGTGAAAATTAACAAGTTGACAGAAGAGGCAGAGAAGACGGGACTTCAAGTAAACGTAGAGAAGACAAAGGTGATGAAGATACCCAACCAACAACAATATCAACAACAAGCACCAATCACCATTAGTGGGAGAAACCTAAAGGAAGTAGCCTCTTTCACCTACACACCTACATAGGCAGCATCGTTTTAAATACAGGCGACACAGACGAGGACGTCAAAGCCAGCCAGGATCGGATACACAGCAAGACAGGTTTTCATTAATCTGAAATAATCAGTGTGGAGATCTACTGCACTCAGAACAGAGAACAATATCCAGATTTTTAACACCAATGTCAAGACAGTGCTTCTATATGGTTCAGAAACTTGGCGTGTCACGAAAAGCATTTCCAACAAACTACAGACATTCATCAACAACTAGTGCCTATTCTCACTCGATACTGAAGATCAGATGGTCAGAACAATAAGAATAAGCAAGAAGGAACTCTGGCTGTCAACGAACCAACGAAGCAAGAACCTATCACCCAACAAATATGTAGAAGGAAGTGGAGATGGATTTGGTATACACTAAAAAGACCATTCGGGGACATCACGCACCAGGCACTCGTGTGGAACCTAGATGGGAAGCGACGAGTTGGGCGTTTGAGGCGAGGGTGATATGGAGGAAGGAGATCGTGTGAGGAAAAAATGAATTATTCCTACTTATGACGTGTGTAGTTCATAAGACAAAATAGAACAATATCTGTCTGTCTAACCGTAGGTTTATGGACAAAAGAAAGAGAAAGGCAAAACTAAAGGTCTACATACTTCACTTACTTGCTGCTTTCTTTCATTAATCTCTCGATCAATACGACGTTCAGTACGACGCAATTCTGATAAAGCTTTAGTAAGTTTCATTTGTGTTTCAGTTAGTTCAACTTTTAAAAGTGTATTTTCATCTGTATACTTTTGTTTGGCATCATTATAGGCTAATTTTTCATTTTGTAAATGATCTGAGCATTCCTTAAATTTCTTCAGTAGGTAAAAAAACCAAAGTATATTTAAGAGATTATAAGAGGAAAAAAAACAACTTCATATCATATACATGCTTGTAAAGAAACTGAGCGTTTGCATAGATACAGAAACAACTTTCTTTAGGGTTTAGATAGTTGATATCAAAAGTGAAATATAATTTTGATCGATTGTTTGAAAAGTCGCATTTTATTCTATAGGTTGGGACTATTCAATGTTATAATTTGGTTCCATGTGAAATGTACTTAGTCACGAAGAGATGCGCTACATAAAACCTTAATAATACAATGTGGAGGAAATATATGATATGGTAATAACCATTATAACAGTATTAGTCGAGAGAAAAAACTAAATGAGGCTAGAGTTGAAGCACTGGTGTCTACCGCCTCCCCACCCCCGAGAACTAGCTTGTTATTGAGTACAGATCTTTTTAGATAACATCCTTGGAGATATTTGACTCAATCAAAGAGTTACGCATTCGTACCTCGCTCCACACATCAAGGTTTGGACATCCGGGCAATATTATTAGCCTTCACACTACAGGTGTAGCTCTTGGCCTGCTACACTAACATGCATGCGGTTTCGGAGTATATTTCGGTAAAAACATACAGTACTGATAGTTGGAGACTGCATACAGCTTATTACCACTGTATACACCACTCTTTTCTTTTTTCCCTATCTTCTCTTGTAGATTTCCTCTTGACTGTGCTAATGTGAATTTTAGCAACTTAGTTTATTATGGAATTATGCTCAGTTTTAAACTGATGATTTCACAGGAAGTGACCTGAGTGGAAATCAGCTGCTAGGGTAAAAGTTTTAGATTCCAAACTTTGTTTCATGTTACTATGTAGTCGGGAAAAACCCTATTGGATACTTTTGTCCCACAGCTAGCCAGTCAAAATAAGTATCCAACTTCTGACCTTGTGGTTTCATATATTGATGAAAACTATATATAAATGAAGTGCTTTTGTCAAATAAACAGTCTTCCTTAGAGTCACAGGCCGGTTTTTGTCTTTTGGATTTCGCGGCTCAGTGAAGTATCAGGTCTGAGGGAGAACAGTGGCTATTCGTATCCAGCCCAAATGCCTCATCACGTTATTATCGTTCACGTACTTATTATCATTATTATTCACCTGGTCACTTCATGATACCTCTTCTAAAGGTCTAACACGTTACCAATAGACAGACAGACATGACAACATAAAAGCAATCACAGAAGTTTACGCCGGTTCAAAGTGTCATAGTACACAACATAAACAGAAAACTAACAGAAATGAATACGTGTCAAAATAAACAGGGACATTAGAGGAGAACAATGACAAGCACGTACATGGACGGTGTCAGATGGTTGATTTTAGCTTAAGACAAAAAGAGACGTTTGCACATTGCTTCAGTCCCATGACTCTTGTCTTGTAGGTAGCTCTGTTATAGAGGATGTAGTAAGCGTAGTCCATCTCGGCTTATGCTTTTTTTTTACCTTTATCGGTCCTCTCATATCTTACAGATTTTCAGAAAAATCCTTCACTTGACCTTTTATATTAGGAAACTCAGAATGTCTGGTATAACTCAGCCTCCACTTTTATGTTTCACTAATTCTTGTGTTTTACCCCTACTTACTTATTCTTCCCCCTTATTCTTTTCTGGACTCCAGAAAAGCGACTATGTTGTATTGTGTAGGAATCTAAAGGCTGTTAGCAGAGCAAGTAGCACACCCCTAACAGAGCTGATAAATGCAGTCGTGGATAGGCATCTAAAGTCTTGTAGACTATTGGCTGAAAATAATTTGTCTGATGACAAGCATCCTCTGTATTCACACCTCTCTCTATGTCTGTCGTCTGGGAAGATAAAAAGCAAATATATTAAACTCTATGCAAACACAACTACATACAAAATTCAATCATACCTTATTTGGCTTGTATATTGTGTGAAGAAAATCATGTTAGACAGTCTTATCAATCAACTTTGTAATAGATAACAATTATCATGTCCCTGGAGTCATTGAACATTTCAATAATCCTGTTATTCGTTATTCTTTATTATGTATCGTCAATCAGAATCATTGTTCATGTTTTAAAAATGTTATACAATGGGTGAATCATACGCTGAGAATTCTGTACTGTAAGCATAATTATTATTATCATTATGTCACCTGTAGTCATAAACCACCAAATTCAAACATTACATAGTTAAGAAAACTACATTTCTCTTCATGAATCATGGCTAATAATTTCAAAGAATAGTATCATGTCTTAGTATAATAATCGTCATCCTTTTACCAACCTTTTTCTGATAGATGGAATGAATAAATAACTTAATAATACTGCTATTTCGTCAAAATTCAAATGTTAGCTATATGGTTCTTTAGCATGCTACCTAGATAATAATAAGAACACAATTTCAGTCGAATGGATACATTCAAATATTTTTACTCATTTACATGAAACTTCAGTGAATCATATACATTCCTAAATAGAATCTACATTTTTCAAAGCAACCAGCTAACCTTTTGTTCCTCGTGCAAAGACATATTCAGAATTCTGTTTTCCTCTCGAAGATTACATAGTTCTGTTTCAACTGAGAATAAACAAGCGGAATATGATGATATATATAATTAAGAGATCATATAATTGCCTATTCTTCAGTGCAAAGTTCAGAAGAAAGGTGTGGTGGTGATATAGTTGGAAAACGCCACACCTTTGTAAGTGAAGCGTATGTGGATAGTAATCGCGCTATATCATAAATAAACAGATGCAGGAAACTGTGAACCGTTGAACTTCAGCCCGGTAATCAAATGTTTAACGCGTTCTCTGCAAGAACTGAGGGTCTTGAGTTCGATCCCTGGCTTGGTGATGGATGCGTACTATTGAGGAATCACATACTAGGATTAAACGGTTTCCTAATGCTCTAGGGTTCATAGTGAATACTACCTTGAGATATCCTATTACGTTGAAATGGATTGATCTGCTATTATGGTTAATACAAAACAAAATGATGTTTGATCAAGAGTCAGCAACTGTCTGAGCTGTACAGATTGTATAAAAATGATTGTTTCACCTGGCTGCCTAAAAAAAACCAGTAAATAAAGCCAGGTTTGAACCTATGACCTAGTGATCGGAAGTTGATTGCCGATACGGTTCAGTTTCGTAAGTCATATTTATTCAGAGATATAAGGTATTCTGAAGGATTCTTTTGGTAAGTGTATGCGACAATTTAAAAAATAGTAAGTGAAATGATTAATAGGATAATAACAGGGGTTAAATTAACCCAGATAGTTTAATGGTCAATGAAATTTGGACGGATATATTCACCAGTCTACTCTATATAAAGTGAAAGCTTGTTATCCTAGTGGTTATCAAGAAGCGAGTATACTGTGTAACAATGGATTTTGTTCTATTAAACACTTGAGAGGAATAGCGTTTAAAGGAAAGTGATGTTAGAAGCAATGAAGTATTACTCGTTAATAACGACAGGATTGAGTAAGCCTATCTGAGGTTAGATAAAGTGATTTAGGTCTAGTTATGTCCGTCGCTAGATTGTGAGCTTGAGTCAACTAAGATTAATAGTTTGTGTATCATACATACAACAATGCAGATAACCAAAGATTATCAACCATAACTTCAGAGGGGAGTTTTGACTTTCCATGCAGCTTCCAAAAGATCTTTTATGTCACCTGTACGTTGTATTGGGTAGAATAGCCCAAATCCAGTAGTAATCGTGTAGCTATGTCGATGCTTTAATTTCATAAAACGCTGGAAATCATTGTATTCTACCTCTTTTTTTCCCACCATCTGTTATGACTTTGGCTTATGACAATTCCGTGAAGTGCATTATCCTGCGGCTTCATTTTTAACGTTGACCTTACACATGTGATGAGTACTACATATATACTTGCCACGTCTTGTATACCCAATTCATTCGAATGATAAATCTCAGCAGCAGCAGCAGCGTACAACAGAACACAAAGTATAGTGCTTATTGTCTGTATATTTCAGCAATCTGAATTGTCAGTATACAAATAACCAAATTACATAACCATAACGCATTCTAAACAATAAAAATGAAATAACCAATTTCATGCATCACTACGGAGTACCACAAATCTATATAAACCTCATTCAACAGCTATATGAAAACGCCGCATGACAAGTGATTCACAATGGAAAGCTCAGTGATGCCCTTGAAGTGAAGACAGGAGTGAGACAAGGCTGTCTACTATCACCCATGATCTTCCTGATTGTGGTCGACTGGATCAAGCAGCAAACCGTCAGTAGTAAGAAGATGGGCATACACTGAACCGACGAAAAGAGCTTAGACGATTTGGATTTCGCTGATGATGATTTAAGTCTAATGTCTTGTAGCACAAACTCGAAGATCTACAGGTCTCGAAAACTAACAAGTTAAAATTAACAAGTAGAGAAGACAGAGGTGATGAAGATACCCAACCAACAACAATATCAACAACAAGCACCAATCACCATTAACAGGAGAAACCTTAAGGAAGTAGCCTCTTTCACCTACACACCTACATAGGCAGCATCGTTTTAAATACAGGCGACACAGACGAGGACGTCAAAGCCAGCCAGGATCGGATACACAGCAAGACAGGCTTTCATTAATCTCAAATAATCAGTGTGGAGATCTACTGCACTCAGCACAGAGAACAATATCCAGATTTTCAACACCAATGTCAAGACAGTGCTTCTATATGGTTCAGAAACTTGGCGTGTCACGAAAAGCATTTCCAACAAACTACAGATATTCATCAACAACTAGTGCCTATTCTCACTCGATACTGAAGATCAGATGGTCAGAACAATAAGAATAAGCAACAAGGAACTCTGACTGTCAACGAACCAACGAAGCAAGAACCAATCACCCAACAAATATGTAGAAGGAAGTGGAGATGGATTTGGTATACACTAAAAAGACCATTCGGGGAAATCACGCACCAGGCACTCGTGTGGAACCTAGATGGGAAACGACGAGTTGGGTGTCCGAGGTGAGGGTGACATGGAGGAGATCATGTGAGGAAGAAATGAAAGTGCCAGATTAAGGAGACTGGAGTGAAGAGAGTGGAATGGAGGCGTGCTACTGAAGCCCTATGTTCCACTAGGAACCCAAGGGAAAAATAATAATTTCATGCATAGAAACTGAGATAGTACACAATAGTTGATTTTACTCAACATACAATTATTTTCGAATGACAAGTCATACAGAAACATTTGAGGAGTCGATCAAAAGCTTTAGAACCGAACTGTACACAATAATGTTTATCAAATAATTCATAAATGAAATAATTCAACCGATAATACTAATCAGAGATGTATGTTTCCCACTTTTTGGTCAATATAACACCATCTACTCATTCATGTTTAATAATCTTCACTTTCTTTTCTTCCCTACTCTTCATACATTATCTAAAGTTGAAATGAGGTACTGTTTTGTTGAATACGATATAATATTTGATCATGAATTATATACAGAATGATTGAAATTTTCAATAGACTAATAATAATTATACACTGCTTAAGTAATTATATGAATCCAGCTAAAATATAACATACCTGCTTTCTCAGCATTATGAACACGTTCATCGAATGATTTAACATAATCAGATAATTGTTCTAACGCTTGATCACGTTCTCTAATAGCTTGATATGCTTCATTTTGAGCCTGTGTAATAATTCTATTTAAAGATAATAAGCAAAAGTAAAAGGATTACGAAAACTATTATTACATCATCATTTTTTTTTTAGGAAATTGAAAAGGTTAGTTAATTATACGCAAAATCAGTTGAAGATTAGTCTCCGTAATTATGGTATATGCTTTGTACTATTAAAGTGCGAAGTACTCTTGTAAGATTGACAGGAGCCTGTGCATACGCTCACTCTTGGTGGTGAGCTGTTGGATGTAGTCGAAAAGTCCATGTATCTGGGTAGTTGTGTGAGTGATGAGATTACCCATCGTATATTGGAAGCCAAAGTGGCATACGTCAATCTGAGCCACCTTTGGTGCTGTAAAAGGTTGGATTTACAACGCTTCAGTGTGAGTAGTTCTTCTCTACGCCTGTGAAATCTGGTCTCTCCAAGTTGAAGATATGAGACGACTCTTAATGTTCCATCGTCGTTGTCTCCGTAGGTTTCCTTGTATCCGATGGCAACACCATATGAGTAATTCTGAGATACGACAGCGTGTATTTAGGCATGATGCAGATCGTCATTCAATATATGAAGTCATCTGGAAACACTGGCTTCAGTGGCTTGGACATGTGTTACGCATGTCGTCCCAACAGCTTCCACGCCGTTCACTTTTTGCTAAACCTGGGACCAGATAGAAGAAGCGGAGCAGTGATCAGTATATGTGGTGGGGCCTTAGGATGAAGGATAGTTGTAACGGGTTAGCATTGTCTGTGCATCATGACTACCTCAGTGAAGTCCGAGAGATCACGCAACTCAGTGGCTTGTCTGTATTTATTTATTTTGTGTGGAGCACTTATTGGTACCCTTGCTGTATCACGATTTTGTTCTAATAATAATAATAATAATAATGCAAAAAATTACCTGCCTAATATAAAATAAACAAAACACTTTAAAAGCATATCTCTTCCCTTGTCCAAATTTATCACACGATTTAAATGCATAAAATCTTAACTTTCTGTCAAAGAAGAAATAGAATCATCCTAATAACAACTCAAGAATTTGTGTTGACCATCTTGTAGTTCAGTAGTACGATTATTATCATATTATTTGTCCCTTGGGTTCCTAGTGGAACATAGGGCTTCAGTAGCACGCCTCTATTCCACTCTCTTCACTCCAGTCTCCTTAATCTGGCACTTTCATTTCTTCCTCACATGATCTCCTCCATGTCACCCTCACCTCGGACACCCAACTCGTCGTTTCCCATCTAGGTTCCACACGAGTGCCTGGTGCGTGATTTCCCCGAATGGTCTTTTTAGTGTATACCAAATCCATCTCCACTTCCTTCTACATATTTGTTGGGTGATAGGTTCTTGCTTCGTTGGTTCGTTGACAGCCAGAGTTCCTTCTTGCTTATTCTTATTGTTCTGACCATCTGATCTTCAGTATCGAGTGAGAATAGGCACTAGTTGTTGATGAATGTCTGTAGTTTGTTGGAAATGTCAGTAGTATGATAGTTGGCCTTATCATATCATCTTATTTTCTAAGAAAAAATGAAGTGGGATTTTGTGGTCAACGCATAAATTACAACCAACTGAGGTTGAACGATTCGATCTAGTATACCAAAGGAAGATTACAAGAATCAATAAACAATAATTGATACAAAAAGTGGCTCTAGTTCCCCAGTGACCTAGCAGATAACACTTTGAAGTTTGAAGCGATGGATAGTACGTTGGAGTCTCAGTAGGGAACAACATCACTTGCTGACGTGCAAGTGCATCTAGCTTACAAGTCCTAAATAGAACGAAATGCGCGTCCTACATTCCACTGTTAGCCATCAAGCAGATTAGAATATAATGAGTAATCGAGCAATATCATGGTATCCGGATGAGCCCATCTGCCAACTGAGCAATTCGATTCAGTATAGCAACGGGAGATTGCAAATATCAAATAATAAATTACAATCATTTTTGAAACTTATTACGTGTGTATCAGCCAAAAGGGTATCGGAAATCTCGATTTATGCGAACGTAGACTATTGACACAATACTAAAAGAAACAATAATTTAGCGGAGGAAATCTTCGTTGTTGACGATATCATTTTGTAAAGCTGTACTATCATAAACACAAACAGTCTATTATCGAACATTAACTTATAAGCTAGTGCTAAATTGGAAATCATGACTGAAGAGAAGTTGCACAGCGATTACTCACACCTCCATAGAAGACTTCATTTATAAACATTGACTTCAAAGGTGATATAGCAACAGATATCTTAAAGAATCAGGTATCCGAATCGTTAAAGAAGACATTCTTCTTTGTAAAGCAATAGATCAGTTTATCTATTCAGTAAAATGGTCTCAGGGTGCGTTAAGAATAAGCTGCAGCTGTAGGCTATTTTAACATACTTATAAGTTTATCTGCTCTTGTGAAACATGCATTTACAAACGGATCTCTGAACACTATGCTGGATGTTTGTTAAGAAGAGAGTGCAAATCAACTAACAGTTTAATTCTTGGAACTTTGATCAACTGTGAATATACAGATCCATCAGAATCCTCCTTTAACGCTGTTTACAGTGACAAAAGGATTAGTTCAAAAGGAGTAAACTTTCTACAGTTTTACACAGAAGAAGCGCTAGCAACTCACCAACTCAAGTCTGATATCTGCGTATAGAAGAAGTATATTCAGCCTTTTATCTTACTATGATCTTAACACATTCACACTTTTTTTCGATTTCATTATAATTAGTTAGTTCACTATTGTTACCTTTATTATTACCCTTTTTTCTTGTTTTGCCTTCTTTATAACTATCAAGTTAACACTCAATCATTACATTTCACATCTACCAACAATTTACTCCTTGTTAAACTCCTTGCCTTTCTCACTACCTCCATTGTCTAAGAGATTATAACGTAATCACCATCCATTCTCGATTTCAGTTTTAACACTAGCCTAAACATGCAACTATAACCTATTGTTCAATAACAGACTGTTATACGTTTTTCATACATATAAACACGCTTGTAAAGCCCTATAAAATGACATCATCGAAAAGGAAATATTTTCTACGCTGAATTATTTCTTCTTTTCCTTATGACTCCATGAACAATACTAGAAGTAATAAATAATAGATATGAGGATTTTAATTTATAGGTAGTGTTCATCACGGATTGACATCAGTTGGGGGAGCCATTGAAAACTTGGAAGCACTGAATAGCCGTTTCGTCGTAGTATGGGACTCCTCAGCAGTACGCACCCACGACCCGGCTGGGCGTCTAACTCAGGACATTTAGGTCTCACAGCAAACGCGTTAACCATTCAGGCATTGGGTCGGAATTCAATGGTCTACAGTTTCTTACTTCTATCAATTAGCGATATAGAGCAACTATCAATCAAGGTCTCCAGTTGGCATTCGCTTGCCTTCCAACTGGTTACCCCACATGCCTTCTTATTAGAAGTTCGGGATATCGATTTCGAACATTTCATGGGTGAGTACTACTGAGGAGTCTCATACTAGGACGAAGCAGCCGTCCAGCGTTCCCAGGTTCTCAATGGTTCTCCCGACTGATGTCAATCCATGATGAATACTACATCTAAATAACGGATATATCAATACAGATCACTTGAATATATTGAGTCCCTCTTTATGAAAAATCAGTAAAGCGCTATGTGTATTGAAGTTCTCAGTATTCAATTATTCTAGAAATCGAAGTTTGATTCGATAAACGTTTCAATCTCCTGCTGAAAATAATCAGTACAAATTCATAAAGGAATGGAACAAATTGAACATTTACATTATGAACTGAAAGAGTATACAACAACTTCCAGCTCCTGACACTGGTATAACTATCTAAATATGTAATTGAATTTTGAGGTGGTTGTGGGGATTTGGAAATATTTCAAGTTGTTATTCATCGCAGACTGACATCAGTTGGAGGAACAAAGGAGCACTGGACAACTGTTTCTTCCTATTATGGGACTCCTCAGCAGTGACCACCTACAACCTTCAGGTTCCATGGCCAACACGTTACCATTGAGCCATTGGGTCAGAATTCAATGGTCCATATTTCCAACTTCTGTTAGCTCACGATATATAGCGCAACCGCCACCAAATATCATTGTTGAGTAACTGTCCTCATGACCATCAGGCTTTGCCCCTAAAGGTCATGACTTCTCATTGAAACTTAGGGAATATCTCTCGAAGTTAGTCACCAATGAGCACTAGTTCAATTGAATTTTGACGGAGTTGTAGAGATTTGAAAATATTTCAACTTGTTATTCATTGTAGACTGATATTAGTTAAAGGAACACAGCTTTAAATAAAACAAAGGAATATTTTGAAGTTAAAATTAGTATTCATAGGACCTACTCTTCTTTTTCTGACTCAGATAATATATTCTCAATCCAAAATTTTAGTCCACAGTCAGTTTGTATTGATTGGTCTGTGAAACTTGTGATTATATTCTTTGACTTGTTATGTAATAATAATAACAGATGAGTACGTAATAAAGGAAGACGAGAATTGGCAAAGTTTAATCGTCTTTCTAATTGTCGAAGACGATGGAAGATTGAATAGACTGTTGTAGGCTCATGGAATTGTTGATCTATAATATTTGTTTCTGAAATATTCATAAATGATTGTATAAGCTTTAAAATTTGACATAATTGATTCTTAGTGTTTGAAGTGAATTCAAAGTAGTTTTCCTGTGATTTTTTCATATTCGACTGAGTTATTGACAATTTAGTGTTCAAATCTTTCAGATCTCTTTCTAATCCCTATTGAAAAAATATATATATATAACGATGAAATCAACGCATTGTATAAATCACTACCGATATTCAAAACAACAGACGTTAGATCAGTTTACCTAACAAGAATAAAAAAATTCCGAAGAAAACTAGATATTTACATACAACTGACAATTGAATTCTGAGGGAGTTGTGGGGATTTGGAATTATTTCAACTTTTTATTCATCGTAGACTGACATCAGTTGGAGGAACAAAGGAAACCTGGGAGAACTGGACAGCTGTTTCGTCCTAGTATGGGACTCCTCAGCAGTGCGCACCCACGACTCCACCAGCAGGGATCGAACCCGCGACCTTCAGGTTCCGCGGCCAGCGCGTTACCATTGAGCCACTGGGTCAGAATCCAATCCTACATATTTCCAACTTCTGTTAGCTCACGATATATAGCGCAACCGCGGGTTCGATCCCTGCTGGTGGGGTCGTGGGTGCGCACTGCTGAGAAGTCCCATACTAGGACGAAACAGCTGTCCAGTGCTCCCAGGTTTCCTTTGTTCCTCCAACTGATGTCAGTCTACGATGAATAACAAATTGAATCTGAGAAAGAAAAAAAAACGATGGTTGGCTTGAAATTGAAAAAAAGTCTGCTAGAGATTAGGTCTCTAATAATTGATATACCATAGAAAATCAGGGAGGGTTACTTCTGATACCATTGCAACATTATTCTAAATATAAACAGTTGAATAAGCAATAGTTAGGCATGAACATTTATATTTTACTCCAGTAAAGAGATGATTTCTTCAAGCAGAGTTTAGCCAAAGATCCTTTCTATTTGACCACCTTTTTTGCATACCATTGGTTGGTCAAGTAGTAAGGAAGTTCGCTAGAGTATTTATTTTTATCTGATGAAGACTGTCATACAGTAAATAAGGTATTTATGAGAATTCTGCCCAAGTGGCTTGAAAAAGTGTTACAAATACCATTACATAGTAGACACAAGTACAAAGGGATTGGTTCAAGTTGTCACGCTTCATAGTAGTATAAACAGAACAATTGGATAGAAAAAGATTCATATCAACGTAGATAAAGTTTTGTGAAAGAATAAACAATTTGATGATAAACGTTAGTCCAACCGATTTTCAGTCATATCACCAAGTCATCCACTACTGATTCCTATTGTCACGGCGACTCTAGCTGGCTAGTCTACATCTCCCGACAGGGCTCAAAACAACAGTCAAGCACTTCATTAACTGATGACAAGTGTCAGTCTTGCTACCCTGAACCCCCTTCCAACCTAATCCCGACCGATAGCTGTTATCCTTAGTGGTGGTCAGGATTGTATATCACAATGACCAAACAACCTATACTTGCTGGAACGCTTGTTCCCTTTAGGTCCTACCATATCAGAAAGGTCACTTGGAGAGTGGTAAGATGAAGAGGCGTTGCTGTTTTAGTAGAAATAGCCACACTATGATGGGGGTCTAAGGTCAAAGTCGTACTGCTGCTACCTGGATGGGGTGTGATAGCAATGAAGTGTTTCTCCTGGATGGCCAGTGCCATGCAGATACTACCTTCCTTGTGGGAAGGCAGAGTTAGAAAAGGTTAGCCCTAAAAATAACACTCTACGCTGTCTCACGGTCTTTCGACACCGACGATTTGAGTTTTCTCTGCCCGGCGTTACAATAATCACATCTTTCATCAAGAACCTGAAAAAGTCTATGTATGGTATGACAGGCCTGAAGCAGATATCCCATGAGCTCTGCGATCACACAAATCCTTTGCTCTTTCAGGTACTTTAAGAAAAAATAGCCTTCCACGGTGTGGGCACCGGGAAGCGTCAACCACCGGTACGTTTTCAGTAGTTCACAAGACCCCATCAAACATAACATACTATCTACTGTCTAAAGTCCTGAAACTGGTCGAAAGAAGTGGATAGATGATTAGCAGAAGGTGTGGAGCCTTGGGATGAATTATGGTTGTGCTACGCTAGCGCATTACGAAAAGCATTTCCAACAAACTGCAGACGTACATCAACAGATCCCGTCTACGCTCACTCGATACTGAACATTGATCAGATGGTCAGAAAGAATAAGCAACAGCAAATTCCGGCCTGGCGACGAACCAACCAACAACCCATCGCCCAACAAATATGCAGGAAAAAAATGGAGATGAACTGGATTGAACATACACTGAGAAGACCATTTGGGGACATCATATGCCAGGCACTCGAGTGGAACCGAAATTGGAAACGATGACTTAAGCGTCCGATGCGAGGGTAACATGAGGGAGATCGTGTGAAGAAGAAATTAAAGCTTGTGGGCAATCGTGTAGCCAGGTTAAAAAGATTGCAGAGAACAGAGTACAATGGAGACGCGCTACTGAAACCCCATGTTCCACTAGGAACTCAAGGGACAAATAATAATAGGCTACCATCTATTAGTACATCACAACCGGCTTGGTAATATCCCAGATATTATTTGACTCAGCAGTTTACGACGACATATGGCTGAGAATTGGAAACGGTAACTAACGCGTAACAATCTCCTCGTTATACGTAACTTTAAATGGGAATACAAACGCTATGGGATCTTTCCGAAATTATCTTATAAGACTTATTTCCTGATTAGCATTTATTTACCACCATATTATTATATTAAGTTGCGTAGAAGGTTTCATATTTGAAATGTTGGAATGTTTGTGCAAATAAGGGGGAAGTAAAATAATAGAGGTAAACAGCCGAAGACCAGTCATTCAGAAACTGTTAGTAGAAATTTTAAAGCAGCTCAAATTTTTATTTATATTATCATTAGTATGTAAATTATTTTCATTCCATGATAATAATAATTTAAAATACTTACTTTCAATGGCTACTGACATTTAAAATTTCCTGTCGGTATACTGGGTCGAATTGCTCCACCTCTGTTGGCAGATAGGCTCCTATGCGAATGCCTCGATACTGCCCGAATACTCATTATATTGTAGTCTACTTTGGAGGCTAGCAGGAGAATCCAGTATGTGGGTTTCGTCCTATTTGGGACTCGTCAGCTAGGCACTGGGGTGTATGTACATCCGGCTGACGAGTCCCAAATAGAACAAAACCTACGTCCTTCACTTCGCTATTAACCACCAAGTTGAGCGGAAACCTTTGTTACAGCAATTTTCTTACCAGCAGTTTTTAGATTATCGACGGAGAACTCTCTTGATTGAGCTAGAAGAAGCAGTTGAATTTGTTTGTTAGCTTGCTGTGTGAATGAGAAGGGTTAACTGTTTGTTGTTTAGTATCTAACTAACCGTTAATATGATCTTATTATCGTGATCCTAATCTACGTAGCATTCATAGGTGGTGTGACTAATTTATCATTCATTACACTACCGAGGACAGCTAATATGAATAAGTAAAAACACTCCCCCAATTAGTAATTGTTACCTTCATGTGGTGGTCAGGCTTGGATATCCTAATAACTCAACGAGCTATGGTGATTGGAACAATTGTTCTTTGAAGCCCTATGGGACACAGGTTCACTGGATAGTCGTGATATTAAAATCAGTTATCCTTATAGGTGGGGCGCTGAGGGCGAAGTCGTATTGTTAGTTGTACGGTGATATGACAATAATGCGGCGTTTCCCATGGATAACCAGTATTCCATGCTGACAAAGCGTTGCCTTAAAGAAAGGAGGGATTAGAAAAGAACAGCCATAAGAGAAGCACATTATTTCCCTTCTGTTCCGTCTTCCGGTGTAATATGCAAAACCACCAGACCTTAATCTCAGACTAACAAAAAGGCCGTACTTAACCAGCATCAAGCAGATATTTCTTCAGCTCTGTAACCATGCAAAACTAGACTCAATTTCTCGTTCACAGACTTCAAGAAGTAACGTTCCAAATATGGGGAGCCAGAAAGTGTCAACCATCTTCACATTTCTGGCTGCATTCGTAGCCTTTCTGATTAACAGTCAACCTTTCAGATTGTTGCTTTCCAAATTTTCTTGACACCCTTCTGCTAATAGTCCTAGTTCGTTCATAATTCCTTCCGATCCTAGAGCTCGATGACAATTTGAGTTAATGGGATAGCATTCCTGGTCTTATGAAACTCCTATTTAAATCATATATCGGAGGTATAAACCTCCTTACCCTCTGTTACATAGGACAAACTTTACTAGTCAGAACTCTTGCATTTCGAGCTACGGACGTATGCTGTTTGTGAGATAAGCACCAAAGAACCGTGCGTCGTGGTTCGTCTAACATCAATGGGCTGATGTGGTGAATCTGTGGAATTCACTCTTCACGTTTCTGCAGATTCGACCGCTAGTTCTAGCAGTATTGCAGATGTACGCAAGGCTTTACAACTTAGGGGAGAATATGCACTGGTCGATTGAATCTTGCTTGGCAGTCACGTATGCTATCTGCTTGAATGATTCAGTGGGGGGGGGTTGAAGGCTGAGAAGATTAGTGAAACTAGAAATTGTCTCTTTGTAGTCTCCGACTACACACCGGGTGACTACAGTTTGTATGAAGTGAAAAATGGGTTTTACCGAAAACTACTCAACTTTGTACTCAAAGCCAGACGTTAGCTGTTGACTTCACTAGACAAGTAAGAAGGTTAGGTCAGGTAAAAAGTCACCTACCTAGGTGGCACTTTCGGAATCTCAGCTAAATGAATAGATAACGGTAATGTTCAGAAAACCCTCTATTCCTGGCCACCTTGAATTTCAGACACAGAGACATTTTCAGACTTGGCGATTTAACAGTAGACTGAAGCTGACCATATTGGTATTAGTCATCGTTGTAAAGGGTCAGTAGAAGGTTCCCGGCTCCTTTAAAAATTCTACAAGTCAACTTTAATGCAACTCCAATTCTTCAGCTACAAAGATATATTTGTTTGCCAGAGTTGATATTTAATTATACAGACAGAATTTAGTCTAATGAAATTTAGTAAATTAAATAATATCAATTAACTTGAAACAAATTAAAAATTACGGGATGTTTCAAAAAACTTTCATTACCTGTCTTTTATTTTGTTCGATATCCAATGTAGCATCCCTAGCCTTTAGTTTAAATTCACTTTCCTCTAGATTCGCTTTTAATGACTCCAATTCTGAAGATAGCCTTTCATAGTCACGTTTTGATTTGGCTATAGTATATGAGTTTTCACTTTTAAGATTTTCTATTTCAATAAGTAAGCGTAACACATGTCTACGCCATGTATTAAGTAATCTTTCCACTTTCTCTGATCTAATTTAACAAAAGAGATACATTTTTACTGCACAAGGACATACTCTATTGAAGTAAATACAAATGTACTCATAATAACACAAATGAAATTGATTTCAACACTACGGAATACAACAAACCTTTATCAATTATATGAAGATGCCACATGCCAAGTAATTCACAATGGGAAGCTCAGTGATGCCTTTGAAGTGAGGATAGGGGACAAGAGTAAAACAAGGCTGTCTACTATCAACCATGATCTTTCTGGTTGTGGTGGACTGGATCATGCAGCAGACAACTGTGAGGAGCGAGAAGAGGGGGAAAAGATCCTAGAAGATTTGAATTTCGCCGATGACTTGTATCTAATGTCACACAAACTTGAAAATCTACAGGCAGAATCCAACAAGTTGATAGAAGAGACGGCGACGACAGGACTTCAAGTGAACGTAGAGAAGATACAGGTGATGAAGATATCCAACCAACACCACCGTCATCAACAACAACAAGCTCCAATCACCATCAAAGGGAGAAATCTAAAGGAAGTAGCCTCCTTCACTTATCCAGGCAGGCAGCACTGTTTCAACTACAGGCGGCACAGACGAGGATGTCAAAGTCAGAATCGGAAAAGCAAGACAGACCTTCATTAACCTGAAACCAGTGTGGAGATCTTCTGCACTCAGCATGTGGAACAAGATGCGGATTTTCAACACCAACGTCAAATCAGTGCTGCTATATGGTTCAGAAACTTGGCGCGTTACGAAAGGGATTTTCAACAAACTACAGGCATTCATCAACAACTAGTGCCTATTCTCACTCGATACTGAAGATCAGATGGCCAGAACAATAAGAATAAGCAAGAAGGAACTCTGGCTGGCAACGAAGCAAGAACCTATCGCCCAACAAACATGCAGAAGGGAGTGGAGATGGATTGGGCATACATTGAGAAGGCCGATTGAGGACATCACGCGCCAGGCCGTGGCCTCGAGTGGAACCCGAGTGGGAAGCGACGAGTTGGACGTCCGAGGTGAGGGTGACATGGAGGAGATCGTGCAAAGAGGAAATAAGAGCTTCTGGGCTGTCGTGGAACCAGGTTCAAAAGATCGCAGAGAAGAGAGTGCACTGGAGAGGTTCTACTGAAGCCCTATGTCCCAAGGGATATATAATAATAATAACGATAATAATAAATGAAATTCGTTGTTTACCACAAGAAGTCAAATCAAACATTATGGAACATACAGTGAATGAACCCGATCTATTGCATGTGATTTAGAAGGATAACGACAAAAGTTTACATACAGCGATTGCAGTCTTTAACAAACTATTACTGTAAAGCTTAATTGACATTTTAACACTGCATAAATATGTATCATTCTGGAGTTTCCTTTAACTTGCTTTCACTCAAATTTACATTCTAGAATTTCAAGTAGAGACGTATGGTTTCCTACTTGTCACGGGGTTTGAACATTGAGGCCTTAACATATTGTTTGTAGCGTAGTTTCATGAGATTGTAAAGGTTATTGTGCAGCCTTGAATAAAGAGTATAAGCTAAATAAGCAAGAGAATTTGAGGATAGTATCTAGTGGCAGAGAAGAGGTTTAAAGGCGATTAGAAGACAGTTAAGGGATGCTAAAGGTTTGTAGGCGACTGATATTCTCTAGTAATCCATACTATAAAAGATAACCTTTTTCATGATGGATCCAGAAAAGAGAATGGACTAGCATTATTAATCTTATCGATCTGGGAAAGTAACTACAGAATTCAAGAGGTATCTACTATTCTATGAACCTACCTATAGGTAATATGCTGAGTTCCAAGATGTGTTGATGTGGCTTATTAGGTTGGATACCTGACTTCAAAAATAAATTTCCGGTTTAGATTATACTCCATTTACTTTATTATGGGCAACAGGGTAGTACAATAAGTTCTCATAAAGAAAATGTGGCTGATAACCTAGTATATATAACTTATGCTAAATGTCTTAACTGTATATTCATTAGATAATGTGACATATTACGCAACAGAGACGGTTCAGACCGACTATAAATGGTTAGCGTTTATATTCACCACATATAGTTTACATAATATATACTGATGTATACTGACGGTATCAGCTAATTTAAAGTCATTTTCATTCGTAATATTTACTGATAACTACGTTCTGTTGATGCCTCTCATATATATTTGAATTGCTAGTATACTGATTTTAGATCAACTTGAAGTGAAACATAATTTATTCACTGATTTCACATTGATATTCATTGCAAACTGGCATCAGCTGGCAACACTGGATGACTTTCTTGTCTCAGTATAAGACTCCTCAGTAGTGGGCCCCTATGACTCCACGACAGATTGAACCCGGGACCTTCAGGTTTCGCGGCCAGCATTTTACCATCAAATCACTGGATAGGAATCCAATGATTCGGATTTCTTACTTCTGTCAGCTCACGATACAACACGACCTCCATCCAATGCCGTTGCTGAGTAATTGTGCTCATTAGTGACTTGCTTCGAGATAAGATTCGTGAGATTCTAATGAGTAGTCGCGGCCGGTGGGGCTGACCAAGTCAGACACGACAGCAGTTACTCAGCGATGGAATTGGATGGAGGTCGATCTATATCATGAAGTGACAGAAGTGGGAAATGTGAACGACTGTATGCGAACCCAGTGGCTGGTCGCTAGACCTGAAGGTCTCGGGTTTGATCCCCGGTGGTGTCATGAGTGTCCGCTACTGGGGAGTCCCGTACCTGCACGATACAGCTGTCCAGTGCTCCCAAGTTTTCAGTGATTCTCCAGTCCATGACGAATATGAACCTGAAATCAATAAATAAATACCCACAAACTTCGAAATTTAGAAGTTAATGAAAACTGTAAGAAGCACGCCGCTACGGAGAAAATGAACAATAAAGTGTTAACAATGTCATGTGATCTAATTTCTTATACTAAGCGAATTTCAAGGATTAGTAATGTTATCGAGTCAGATACAGACAAAGTCGATGCAGAACCTCTCACACAAGTACATAGGTTTCACTTGTCACTCTTCACAGTAGTACACGAAGCAGAGCTGGATAGAAAGAGTGATATCAAAGTAGATAAAGTAGTGTAAGAGAATAAACAATTTGACGATAAAGGTTAGTGTAAATATTCAAGCTTTAGAATACATTGGACAATAAATACATCTGGTTCATTGTGTTTTGTGTCACCAAGAGTCCTCAACCACTGATTCCTATCCTCTCAGGGACCCTAGCCAGGCAGTCTACATCTCCCTATACGGCTCAGACCAACAGTCAGGGACTTCATTGATTAGTGCCATATTTTGGTCTGACTAACCTGAATCTTTTTCCATCCTAGTCCAACTTCAGGTAGCACTGCACATTAAGGCACCCGGTGGCTAAGTATGCGCAGTACATGTCCAAGTCACCTTATTCAATGAAGGTTCAAAACCTCATAGATTAACTTGTCTGTCTTGTCTAGTACTAGTCCTATTGAACAATGTCAATTCAGACTTTGATGGAACATCACTTCTACTAAGGTTTTCAATACAAGCCTAGAGTTATGGATTCCAACTGATCTCAAATCAGTTACATTTTTGTTATATAGGGACGAATAAGTGTGTTAAAATCGGTTAGCAAAAGAGTAAATTTCAAGTGAATGATAATAATAATAATAATAATAATAATGGCTTTATTCTGTAAGTTATTTCCAGAATACTCTACAGAATTTTCAACACGTTGTATAGCATCAATTGAACAGAGACAGTGTATATGTATACATAGCAAAATGAAATAAGTAGAAATTACACAAGAAAAGATAAGAATATTCACTCTATCTATAACTTTCTTGGAAATGCACAGTTAATTTAGGTAGACAATAGCATTAGCGATTTGGTTCATAATACATAAGCAACAGTACTCGTTAATTAGTTTGCTTTCAAAAACAGAAGTTGATTAGTTAGTTCATTTCTAACACTTTCTTCATCGCACAGGAGAGGAGCTAAGTACGTACGGTATTGTAGATTTTTTATATTTCGTAGTACATACATAGTCTTATGTACTTGATCCTAGTTTTCACACATGATCGATACGCAGAGAGCTTTGAATGAAGAGGATGCTGTTCATCTGATAAAATAACTCCTGCCAGATGTTTACCTGTTAAGATGTTTATCTACAACTGTTTTAACTAAAAGGTTCAGAGATACCCTATTAGTTCTGTTGACAATTTTTAAAGTTCTGCGTAATATAGCATAGTCTCTTTTCAGCAACTCGGAAAAATGTAGAGAACAGGCAAAATGCAGGAGTTTATAAAATACAAGAGGAGAGGCTGATACTCACAGCTTCTTAATACAGAATGTTAGGCGGAAGATTCTTTTGGAAATTGGTAAGATATGAGAGGATCAGAAAAGGTCCGAAAAAAAACACCGAGGTAAATCACACTTTTAACATTCTCTAAGCAGGTTATGTTCACATCTAAAACAAAAGTTTATAGTCTGACATTTTGAAGAATTCAGCATAAGACAATTTACGGAGGACCATCGTCTAACAGTAGATAGATCATTCAGTTGGGAACAATTTGTTGGAAAGAAGACAGGTATGGAAACTGTTAGGTCATCAGTATATTTAATATAGGTGTAAAACTTGGGCACTGTGGTAGAATTAATTCCATATTAGATTTGTTTATTTGATTTATAACACACAGTGATCTAGTATTATTTATTTGATGACGAGGTTTCGAGCATAAATTATCACTGCTCATAATCATATCAATATAATCACACTACTTTCGACATTTGATTCTTATAGTTACGTCACTTTATATGGATTGTTTTTATTGGTAGCAAAATTTTCCATATCTGTGGTATAGGTGTTGCGTCTACAGAAAACCAACACATTCCAACAGGTATCTAGACTTCAGATCATCCTATCCAATGTCAATTAAGGCAGGATTAGTCAAATGTCTAGATGATAGAGCTAGAAAACTGACTAGTCACAGCAAGAACCTAAACAAGGAATGGAAACACGTAAAAGAAACGCTAATAATTAATAATTATCCTGCGCAGATTATTAAGAAATTCTTACGGACACACAAAAAACAAAAAAATAACCGTCACACGAGTTCGACAAATAATGACAACACGAGAGAAAAGGGGATCACAGACTCCATTGTATTACCCTATAAAGAGGGTACCTCAGAAACTTTACGTAGAATCCTCAACGCAGCTGGAATTAGGGTGGCACTTAAGCCTATAAACTCACTCAGAGATATGCTTTGTCGGTTGGCTTAAAGGATCCGGTAGAACCAATTAAGCAAAACGTCATACTGAAGTTAGTGCTGATGATGTCGTTTAGCAAGACGATGAAAGCTTCACGATTAAACAATCCAGCTCAGAGAACACAATACAACCAAGACCATCCACCTGAGCTACAAATATTCTCCATTATTTCAAAATCTATCAAATCCCATGTAATGATTGCAAGGTTAAGAACATAGGTGAAACTAGTCGTCGGTCGGGGTCAGTTAGAATAGCTGAACATAGGAATCTAGCGAAATATAGAATGACAGACCTAAATAAGATCAATAAACTAGAAAAAAAACTCGGCTATTGCTATGCATACATTAGCACACAACCACACAATAGGGTAGGATAAAACCACTGTACTGAAGTCCAATACAATTAGGTGGAGAGAGAGATTGACTACTGAAGAAACTTTGTTCATCGAATCAACACCCAACATATATAATAGAAATGACGCAACACCTATACCACAGATATGGAAAATTTTGCTACCAATAAAAACAATCCATATAAAGTGACGTAACTATAAGAATCAAATGTCGAAAGTAGTGTGATTATATTGATATGATTATGAGCAGTGATAATTTATGCTCGAAACCTCGTCATCAAATAAATAATACTAGATCACTGTGTTATAAATTAAATAAACAAATCTAATATGCCATCAGTATATTTGATGAAACTCATATTAGTTGAAGATGGTAAGTCGTGCAGAAAGAAAGAGAAAAGACATGTGGAAAGGATGGCTCCTAGGGGAACACCAGTCACAGTAAGCAGTGAAATAGAGCCCTCTCCTCTGTGAACAGTATGTTGTTTTCTTCCAGAGAAGTAGAGATAGAGCCGGCTACTTATCCAGGACTCAATATTAGTCCCTTATAGCTTGTTCAGCAAAAGAGGTCTTGGAAAACAATCAAATGTTGAAGTATAGTCTAAAAAGGCATACTTGACATTTCGATCAAGATTACAAGCAATAATGGTGATTTCGATAACGCTATTAGAAGACGAAGATTATCTGAAAAATGTGATGTATTTGAGCAATACATTTCGAACAATCTGATCACACATTTACTTGTCAAGTCATTTTATATATGAAAATTAAAGGTCAAATATAGTGAATATGAAAAGGTTGTGACACTAGTCTTGGTAATATAATCACCAAGGTAAATTCAGTGAAACAACAAATTGTTTTTGTACATACAGCTGGGGATTAAGTTTACGAATGGCTAATGCTTCGGCAAACTTCAGTATGCGCCTCTGATTATTCCTGTATAATATCTTAAACGGTGTTTTCGTATTAACCCTGTGATTCATTTCAATAATATGTTTTGCTGTAGATGATGATGGATGTCTGTCATCTGCACTTATCAAAGTTTGTGTGTTGAACTGTTTTTCCAGCCATTTGGGGATGTGTTCACCCACCCTAGTCTGCATTGAACGATTACTCCTCCCTATGTATGTTTGCCCACACATACATGTAAATTGGCAAACGGAGTAGGATGTGATGTAATCATTTGTGCGAGGTTGAGGTTTGTGGCGAAGGCAGTGTTTTGTCGTCGCAACAATGATAAGCTGAGCTACCTAGTATGTTTTACTGATAACAGATTTTAATCTCTGCTTCAATATCATACTACTTGTTTCCCCTCTGTATGGTACTTTAAGAAATATGCTTTTCTTCGGGACCAAGGAAACTGTAGGCTTTGGGGTCAAGTGTTTTTTACAATGGTTGACAAACTGTAATGGATAACCGTTTTCCACTAGTGTCTGTCAGAAACTTATTCTCATCATCCATTGTATCAGATGTACAAATGCATTGGATTCTATTGAACAAGCATCTTACCAAGCCTCTCTTATATTTCATTGGACAAAAACTATGGAAATTCAAATACTGTCCTGTCCAAGTAGACTTCCTATATATTGATCGTCTTATAGATCCATCTTCCCTCCGACACAAGAGTATATCAAGAAATGCAAGTTGATGGTCTTTTTCTTCTTCACATGTCAGACTGATATGATCTTGTACGGTATTGATCTTTTTTAACAACCTCTTGGCATCCTCATCTGTGTCACATATTACAAAGATATCATCCACATACCTTCTATAGAGTGTGACATTGGTGATTAGATCTTGAGCCGTTAGTTCAGTATGTGACATATATACGTCAGGGTGGGTGAACACATCCCCAAATGGCTAGAAAAACAGTTCAACACACAAACTTTGATAAGTGCAGATGACAGACATCCATCATCATCTACAGCAAAACATATTATTGAAATGAATCACAGGGTTAATACGAAAACACCGTTTAAGATATTATACAGGAATAATCAGAGGCGCATACTGAAGTTTGCCGAAGCATTAGCCATTCGTAAACTTAATCCCCAGCTGTATGTACAAAAACAATTTGTTGTTTCACTTAATTTACCTTGGTAATCCTTATGTGATTATATTACCAAGACCAGTGTCACAACTTTTTCATATTCACTATATTTGATCTTTAATTTTCATATATAAATTGACTTGACAAGTAAATGTGTGATCAGATTGTTCGAAATGTATTGCGCAAATATATCACATTTTTCAGATAATCTACGTCTTCTAACAGGCTTATCGAAATTTATTAAAGGGACTAATTGTTTCAAATAAAGGTTACAACCTAACAGAGGCGATTATATGTGTGAGTAAAAATGACAGCATATATAGAACTTTAGTACAGAGTTCAGTCACTTGCTAACACTTCAGAAAATTTATCATTAGACAGTCACTGAACAATAATTTTCATACTAACATTTTGATTACTTTTCTCTTATCCTTAAATGATAACTCAATTGACAAAAATATCCTGTCTGATCAATTCTACTGGAATACATAAGTTCACTTATCCTCTTTGTGAGTAAGGTGTATAAGTGTTTGAGATAAGAGTTCACATAAAAAATTTTCTGAATAAACAGTCGATCATTATTTTTTTAACGTTGAGATTTTATATATACTACTTACAATTAGAAGACGTAGATTATCTGAAAAATGTGATGTATTAGCGCTATACATTTAGAACTATCTGATCACACATTTACTTGAAAACTGGAAGTGAGGGAAGGATGTATATGACATAAAGGAATTCAATAATAAGAAAGATAATGAGAGGAATAAAAGATAAGATTTGAAGACAATCTTGGTAATACGATAAAATAAGCATTACCAAGGTAGGCTTAATGTAAGGACAAACTGTTTTGCACACACAATGGGGGGTTAAATTTATTTATGGCTAGCGCCTCAACAAACTTAAGTATACGCCCCTGACAGTTTCTATACAAAACTGTAAAGGCTGTCTTGATATCAATTCTGTGACTCTTATCAATGATATGTTTCGCAATGGATGATGGTGGTTGTCTGCCATCTGGGCTTATCAGTGTTTGTGAATCCAGCTGCTTTCATAGCCATTTTGGAAAATGTTCCCCTACCCTCAAGTGCATATCACAATTAGTCCTCCCTATGTATGTTTGTCCACACACACACATGTAAATTTATTAAAGCAGTGGGATATGACGCAATCGTTTATACAGCGTTGAGGTCTAGGTTGCAGCAGGTGTTTGGTCTTCTTAACTATGATAAGCTTAGCTGCATAGTACGTTTTGCTAACAGCAGACCTTAACCTTCGTTTTAATATTATGCTATTAGATTGTCCTATGTATGGTAACGCGATGTAAATGCATTTCTTCGAAACAGAGTACAGATGTGGTTTGAATCCTTGCTGATTTTTGCAGTGGTTTATAAACTTCAATGGATATGCGTTTTCCACTGATGTTCCCGTTAGTATTTTGATATCATCATCCATTGAGTCTTCCGTACAAATACGCTAGATCCTTTTAAATAGGCAAATTACCAAACGTCGCTTGTATTGGGTTGGACAAAAGCTGTGGAAACTGAAATACTGACTTGTCCTTACATTAAGCCTACCTTGGTAATGCTTATTTTATCGTATTACCAAGATTGTCTTCAAGTCCTATCTTTTATTCCTCTCATTATCTTTCTTATTATTGAGTTCCTTAATGTCATATTTGTCCTTCCCCCACTTCCAGTTTTCATATATAATGCCTTAACAAGTAAATGTGTGATAAGACTGTTCGAAATGTATAGCGCTAATACATCACATTTTTCAGATAATCTTCGTCTTCTAACAGGCTTATCGAAATTTATTAAAGGGACTAATTGTTTGAAATAATGGTGATATAAGACAGTTGTGGTATCCAGAGTGTTTCTTCTGCTTTTTTATATGTAAAATTGAAAAAGTCAGAACAATTTTTCAGCCTAAAATAATCATGAATTCAACCATTGAGCTTTTAATCATATTTCAGTAGACAGCAACAATACTTGATACAAACAAATACTAGACAGAAATAAAAGTATATCCATTGAATTACTATCAAAATTTTTTAAAAAATTAAAAAAAACTTATCTCTTTACAAGTATTCCATTGAATATGAAGTTCACTACATGACAAAAAACTTACTCATAATTAGTATCAAGAATTTTATAATCACTTTTATTATTACATAACTGCTTCTCCTGAATTTCCAAAATTGCCTGCAAACTATGCATTCGAATATTAGTCTGTTCAAGTTCATGACTTAATTGAGAATTTTTATTTTCTAAATATTTCAACTAAAAGATAAGATATAAAAGAAGTTTTTTTTTAAAATGTTATATAAGAAAGAGTAAAACAACACAGTAACTGTTGTTAATGAAAATGAAGCCTTCATTCCACTATGGTAGTAACCGGTCTCGGGTGTAATACTGACTAAATTGTAGAGTACTGTTGAAAAGAATGTTCAAATGTAAAGAAAAATTGAGGTTATAAATACTAAGTTTAGACATAGAGATTATGAAGTGATACTTCTCAATATATATATATTGAAATAGGATGATTGAAGATGAATTTGCCAAGCTCTTCATGTTTTGGATAATTAAATATCAAGTAATGCTGATGTCTTGTTTAAAATTGAAGCTGGAGTCCGTATCCTCAGAGGTGCTATAAAAAAACATGATTCTTATAAACCTAAGTAAACTGCTCCCATAACTTCAAACCTAATAGGCTTCAATACAGGATAATGATTGAAGGTGAAATGAAAATTTAAACCATGGATGGATTTGAACCAATGATCATCAAGTTTCCGGCCCCATACTCTACCAATCCACCTACGACATCAAACTGTTAAACACATTTCTATTCAATTCCAATCTCCCTCTCTTGAATTCAAGTAGATTTGCATTGCGATAAGAAGTCATGACTGGGTAACCAGCCAGTGTGAATATGATCACGTATCACAAATTCACATGGCATTCAGGTAAAAAACTCTTAGTGATTGAATTGAAATAAAAATCTGGTCAGTAGTCGGATCTCGTAGCAAAGTTGATAAAGAACCGGGCTAGAAACCTAGTGGTTGCTGATTCGAATTCAACCGCTGTCCAAATTTTCATCTTCAATCACCACTCAGTGTAAATAATCATTTTGTTTGAAAATATTTTTTGGGGGGAGCGAATTCATTGAAAGACTAAATGCTGAGAATTCCATTCTATATCAAATATAATGCTTGGAATAAAGGTATTATTATTATTATTATTACCATCATCATTATTATTATTGGTATTACTATTATCACTATTATCATCGTCATTATTATCATTATTACTGGGGAAATACCAATAGACCTCCACAAGTAGGATGTAAACGTTCTATCAATCATCTTAAAACAAATATTCACACCTATTACTGGGAGAATATCCTACGTTATGAAAACAAATCATGCTGCTTACATAAATAACTTTTCTTTTCTATTTATTTTCACTAGTAAATGTTCAGCTTGCTGATTTGACGAAATAACGGGCGAGTAACGCATTATAGCAGATTAGTTTGATGAAAACAAACCTGGAAACTTATCGATAAGTGAAATAAAGAACCGACGGTCGTTTGGGGTGAAGGTTACTTATAAGAATTATATTTCAGTAGTATATAGCACAACCTAAGGAAATATAATTAATGATAACAATCGACTAGTGAAGATTCAGGACAAGAGAAGATACAATGTTACATCAGAATTCAGATGACAAGAACACTGTACATTGGGATACCAAAGACGACGAATGTTTGTAAGTTTGCCTTTATTGAAAGGGTTGATACTTTTAGCCATTTTTCTTTCAACAAACAGTCTCCACTACTCCATTGAACTTCTCTTTAAGTCTATTTCAATACTTAAATACTGAGCACGTTTATTTACACTTATTCAAACCAAATATATGAATCTTATTCTTTAATCAGTTATTATTCAGGAGACTTTGTGGATCCTCAGTACCCTAAAGTGTAAATCTTTTGAGTAAACAGCAGTTGATAATTAACGCTCATATCCCTTAAAAGTAGAACTTTGATTCCACATTTTCAAATGATATGAATTATGGATGAATATTTGCATAGAACAGAAGCCAATGAATTCATGTATAAGTTTAGAACAAGTTATAAGTGATAGAATCAAGGTATCCGATGAATCAGCTATAAAGAAAAGAATTATAATACAAGTCACCAGCCATTACTCAATTTTATTTCATGCAAGTCTTTTGTGCAAGACAGTAAATTATTGTAAGGCAGTATTCATCACAGGCTGATATCAGTTAAGGGGACCACTGAAAACCTATGAGCACTGGATAGCTGTTTCGTCCTAGTATGGGACTCCTCAGTAGTACGCACCCACCAAATATCCGATATCGACGTCCCGAAGTTCTAATAAGAAGACATGAACTGTGGTATCAACCAGTCGGAGGTAAAGCAAATGCCAACTGAAGATCATCATTCATCGTTTGTCCCTTAGGTTCCTAATGGAACATAGGGCTTCAGTAGCACCCCTCCAATCCCCACTGTTCTCTGAAATCATTTGAACCTGCTTCCATGACAGCCCACAAGCTCTCATTTCCTCCTCGCACGATCTCCTCCATGTCACCCTCACCTCAGATGCCCAACTCGTCGCTTCCCATTGGGGTTCTACTCGAGGGCCTGGCCTGATACGTGATGTCCCCAGTCGGCCTTCTCAGTGTTCATACAATCCATCACCACTTCCTTCTGCCTATTTGTTGCGTGATAGGTTCTTGGTTGGTTCGTTCCCAGAGTTCCTTCTTGCTTATTCTTATTGTTCTGGCCACCTGATCTTCAGTATCGAGTGAGAGTAGGCACTAGTTGTTGATGAATGTCTGTAGTTTGTTGGAAATGCCTTTCGTAACGCGCCAAGTCTCTGAGCCATACAGAAGCACTGACTTGACGTTGACCTTGGATGATAGTTGTGCTATATCGCTGACTGATAGAAGTAAGAAACTGCAGACCATTGAATTCCGACTCAATGCCTGAATGATAAACGCATTTGCTGTGAGACCTAAATGTCTCGAGTTCGACCCCCAACTGGATGGTGGTAGAGTACTGCTGAGGAGTCTCATACTAGGACGAAACACTTGTCTAATGCTTCCAGTTTTCCATTAGTTCTCCAACTGATATCAGTCTACGATGAATACTACTTTAAAATTAAAATCTCTATTAACCTCAAAATATAGTAAATTATTTGTTAAATTTTTTTTTAATTACCTTTTCCAAGAGTTCTGTATCACATATACATTTATGTGATGGTTCTTGTAAATCTATATTGAACGCATTTTCAGATGAGGTTTTACCCAATTCAATGTATGCTCGTAGTTTATTTAGTTGATTCAAAGCGTCTGTACGACTGTGTAGTAAATATGCATTTTCTTTCATTAAAGTATGTACAAGTTTGTTGATATGATCAGATTTTTTTTCATCTAACTTGTCTAATTCAAAATGTTTAGAATAGCTTACATCAGTTGAATTCCAAGCTAATCTATAGTGTAATACAAAATATGAAATAGAAATTGAGATATAAATCCTGGTTTATCTGAAAACCAACTAATCAAAAACGGTTACTTAGATCTTACATTTCATTCTTAAAAATTCTAAAAACAGTTTATAAGCATTGATGTTTTAAACTTATTAGGCACTGAGAATATACTATTATGATATGGTCACCGAATACAACGAGTGGATTACTGCTATATCTATGCCTGATTGGTGATTAAGAAAGATGACTGACGAACCACTAACGAACTTACTTGCGACTAGAGGAACCGAAAACAGAATAAAATACATTCAATCTATAGCATTCACTGAAACACTGGTAAAATAGAAAAGTAATATTGATCATCAGTTGTAGAATAATTGAAAAACTGAAGGATTTGGACAGCTGTTTCTTCCTTGTATGGGACTCCTCAGAGGTGCGCACTTACAACTCTATCAGGAATCGAGCCTAGGAGTGGCAAGCCTTACAGAGAGTATGATACCATACAGTGGTTGACACTTAATGTATCCACTGAAACACTTACAAAATAATCAATAAGGTAGTTTAAGTCATTTTTTATTAGTTGGTCGGTTTACTATACTAATAATGAAGTTGAATAATCCTAATTTCAAGTAAAACTAATAAATTGTTATTCATCGAAGACTGACGTCAGTTGGAGGAACAAAGGAAACCTGGGAGCACTGGACAGCTGTTTCGTCCTAGTATGGGACTCCTCAGCAGTGAGCACCCACGACCCCACCAGCAACTGATGTCAGTCTTCGATGAATAACAACTTGAAATATTTCCAAATCTCCACAACCCCTCAAAATTTAATTGAACTAGTGCTCGTTGGTGACTAGCTTCGAGAAGTATTCCCGAAGTTCCAATGACAAGTCGTGACCGGTGGAGTCAAAGCCTAATGGCCGTGAGGACAAATACTCAACGATGACATTGGGTGGCGGTTTGCGCTATATCGTGAGCTAACAGAAGTTGGAAATATGGAGCATTGGATTCTGACCCAGTGGCTCAATGGTAACGCGCTGGTCGCGGAACCTGAAGGTCGCGGGTTCGATCCCTGCTGGTGGGGTCGTGGGTGCGCACTGCTGAGGAGTCCCATACTAGGACGAAACAGCTGTCCAGTGCTCCCAGGTTTCCTTTGTTCCTCCAACTGATGTCAGTCTTCGATGAATAACAACTTGAAATATTTCCAAATCTCCACAACCCCTCAAAATTTAAAACTAATAAAGGCGAATAATAAAGAAGTAAAATGACACTATCTGTCACCAGTATATTTCCTCACAAAACCCAAACTAATTTTATATCATGATACTCAGTTGAATAGAATTTTTGAAAAAGAATATTCTGATTAAAATTAACATTGTTGACTTACAGATAAAAATTCAATGATATAAAATAGGGCTATTTGGACATGTATAACGAATATCATTATTCCAGCAGCTTTCATACTGTTCATTGTCTATCAACTCTTTTATTATTTGGAAGAAATGGATACAGTCAGTTTACGACCTTGTGTCAAGATTCTTCAGATGGAATTCGAGATATCTAACAACTCTTTGGAGCTTAGGATGAAATCAGATATTTTTTAGAATCAAAATCAGTGATAATCATTTTTCAAGTTGTTATTCATCGAAGACTGACATCAGTTGGAGGAACAAAGGAAACCTGGGAGCACTGGATAGCTGTTTCGTCCTAGTATGGGACTCCTCAGCAGTGCGCACCCACGACCCCACTAGCAGAGATCGAACCCGCGACCTTCAGGTTCCGCGACCAGTGCGTTACCATTGAGCCACTGGGTCAGAATCCAATGCTCCATATTTCCAACTTCTGTTAGCTCACGATATAGCGCAAACCGCCACCCAATGTCATCGTTGAGTATTTGTCCTCACGGCCATCAGGCTTGACTCCACCGGTCACGACTTGTCATTGGAACTTCGGGAATACTTCTCGAAGCTAGTCACCAACGATTGTAGATTTGTCGGGTCCACTGTTTGTAAACAGTAAGGCAAATATAATGAAAGCTTTCTTGAATGTCACGTTGATATTCCTCATAGACTAACATCAGTTAGAGAACTATTGGAAGCCTGGAAGCACTGAATAGCTGTTTTGTCCTAGTATGAGATCCGCAAGGAATCGAACCCAGGACCTTCAGGTTCCACAGCTAGCGTGTTACCACTGAGCCACTGGGTCGGAACCCAATGATTCACATTTCTTACTTCTGTCAATTTGTAAAGTAGAGGAATCTTCATCTTATGACGCCATTGAGTAACTGTCTTCACGTTCAAGGTGGTTTACCCCGCTGATCACGGCTTTTCATCTCGAAGCAAGTTAAAAATGAGCACTAGAGTAACTCAATTAGGTTTGTGAGGATCGATTTATTGATTTCAGGTTGATATTCATCATAGACTGACATCAGTTTGAGGACTATTAGAAACATTATGGGAGCAACCATCTGGTCACCTGTTTTCTTTTTTTGTCATTATCTTTTGACTTGCGACTTTATGATGTGAGTACATCACGTTGTTGTGTATTTCTCGTTGCTCATGTTTTTTTTCAATAAATGTGGACCATTAGATTCCAACCTAGCGCCCCAACGGTAATATGGTGGCCACGGAACCTGAAGGTCGCGGGTTCTATCCCTGGCGGGGGCATGGGTGCGCGCTGCCAAGGAGTCCTATATTAGGACGAAATAGTTATCCAGTGCTCTCAGGTTTCCAATGTTTCTCCAACTGATGTCAATCCATGATGAATTCCAACCTTAAATAATTAACTAGCTGTTTTTTTCTAAAAATAATTCAACAGTTGAATCTCCAAATATACCTTTCAGTAGAGAAAAATTCCAAGCAACAGTAAAATGGATGCACACTGAATGGTATACGTCATTAGATCTAGCCACATGATTCAAAATAACTAAATTTAGGATAAAAGCAAAATGCAGTCCTCGAAGGTCTAATTGATGTCAATATAGAAAATTAAGTACACCAATCAATAGCCACTGTTCAGTTTTATAGGGGTTCAAACAATTTGTTAGCCATAAGCTAAGCGGTCAATTCGAGTACATCATCAACAAGGTTTGAAGTAAAAGAGTGAAAAAATTATCTAATGTTTAGATCCACTCAAATTACTTTGTGAACACTACTAATCGATGTGAGTAGTTTACAAATATCCTTCATTTATGAGTACATAACATGAAACATTTTCAACAAACTACAGACATTCATCAACAACTAGTGCCTACTCTCACTCGATACTGAAGATCAGGTGGCCAGAACAATAAGAATAAGCAAGAAGGAACTCTGGGAACGAACCAACCAAGAACCTATCACGCAACAAATAGGCAGAAGGAAGTGGTGATGGATTGTATGAACACTGAGAAGGCCGACTGGGGACATCACGTATCAGGCCAGGCCCTCGAGTAGAACCCCAATGGGAAGCGACGAGTTGGGCATCTGAGGTGAGGGTGACATGGAGGAGATCGTGCGAGGAGGAAATGAGAGCTTGTGGGCTGTCATGGAAGCAGGTTCAAATGATTTCAGAGAACAGTGGGGATTGGAGGGGTGCTACTGAAGCCCTATGTTCCATTAGGAACCTAAGGGACAAATAATAATAATAATAATAAACATGAAACAATTTAGGACGGTAGTATGAACAAATTACATATCAATTTGTATATCAATTTATTCAACTTTTCTTCAATGGGATCTCATATGATTGCCTACTTTTCTGAATAGATGGTTATCAATTGTAATAATACGTGTGTTTATTTCATTAGAATACATAGCACAGCTATAAGTCATTAGATTACGGAGATGACTTTCAACAATTGGTTCATGGGTTTGAACTCCACTCCACCTATCGAGCTTTAGACAGTCAGATAGTATTATCACTAACCCTAACACAATAGGTGTGGCTCACTGCCTACTTCACAAGTGTGAACAAGGTAGCTGAGTGCATTTCGATTCAATTTTAGTTGATACAACTTTTACCAGAACTTGAATAACATATTTAGGAAGAACAGAAATGGCATATCCGAAGAATGAGTTATACAATATCATTTAAAAATTCGATTGAACGATTCACGATATGGGTGAATTTTATCTCTGATGAAGCTTGTTCAGCTGATGTAAGACAAATGACAACGATCAGTCAGAGTTCAGACAACATAATATTTATTATACAGTTCCCTTGATAAATTTGAACAACGGAAGAATAAAAACATTTGCAGAATAAATCGAGTTCATCTTATTTCACAACCTTTCATCAGCTGCAAACAGCCTACAATTGAAGCGAAGCATTACTAGTAATAATAACAGGACATACTTTAAATATGAAATCCAGGATTGACAATAATGTATTAAGTCAAGGAAACGAAGGATTAGTAGTTACATATCTTAGTCAAAATCTATGAGTATTTATATCTCATGAGATAGAAACCTCTGGAGTTGTGGAGTGGGAGAAAACAAACGAAAATCAGTGTTAAAAAAGGCACTGTTTAACAGCCAATAGATTACGCAATTACATGAGAAACTGGAAAATCACTGAGTGATTGACAGTCAGTAAGTGATTAATGAAGAGATGATGCAATCAAAAGGAAAGGGAAGACTATACATACATACACATGCAAATATTCTATACATTTACTAAGGTTAATTACAGTCTCCTTCTGAGTACATAGGTCAGGTGGAAATTGTTTGATAGCGAGAACTTCCGCCATCCGTGATAAAGATGGTGTTCTTTATTTGTTGACTATCCTGAAGGATTGAGAAACAGATTCAACTTTTCGGATCTAAGTATAGGACGGAGATGTGATGGTACAGTTGAGAAAACCATCTACAGGAAAGACACTTGGATTTGTCAGTATCTTCACTTCAATAGTTCCAGTCCTGTCAGCTATAACCGTGGTTTAGTCAGGAAGCTAGTCACTTGAATGAAAACGCTGTGCTCAAAAGATAAACAAGAAGAAGAATTCGGGATAATTGAAAAGGCTCCTATAGAGAATAGATATCTGAAGGAATTCATCATGAAGCATGGAAAAGAATTTATTGGGGGACCAAAACATCCTACTGCTGAGAAGAAGCCTATTTTCCTTCGCTTAGCATTCAAAGGTGATAAGACATCTGAAAGAATAGACAAATGAATAAAACCTGCACTAAGAAGGAACTTTCCTGCTGCGAGACTGATTTCAGCTTACAATACAGTATATTCAATAACACAGTCGAAAGTAGGCAAATGCTCAGCTCACATCACCTCCAACTCTGTATATCAATTCACCAGTGCTTGTGGAAGCATGTAGGATGAAGTGAAAGAAGGGCGTCTACTCGATTTTATGAGCATATTCTGAGAAATCTGTGTCTGACTGGTAGCATGGTCTTTAAGAGCGCTATCGCCAGGCATCTGATGGAAATAGGACATCAAATAAGTGTTTCTCAGTCCTTCAGGATAATCAACAAATAAAGAACATCATCTTTATCGCGGTTGGCAGAAGCTCTCGCTATCAAACAATTTCCACCTGACCTATGTACTCAGAAGGAGACTGTAATTAACCTTAGTAAATGTATATAATGTTTGCATGTGTATGTATGTAGTCTTCCCTTTCCTTTTGATTGCATCATCTCTTCATTAATCACTTACTGACTGTCAATCACTCAACGATTTTTCAGTTTCTCATGTGATTGCGTAATCTACTGGCTCTTAAAAAGTGCCTTTTTTAACACTGATTTTCGTTTGTTTTCTCCCACTCCACAACTCCAGAGGTTTCCATCTCATGATTTTGACTAAGATACGTAACTACTAATCCCTCGTTTCCTTGACTCAATACGTTATTGTTAATCCTGGATTTCAAATCTCTATTTGTTTCTACATATTTAAAGTATATCCTGTTATTATTACTAGTAGTGCTTCGCTTCAATTGTAGGCTGTTTGCAGCTGATGAGAGGTCGTGAAATAAGATGAACTCGATTTATTCTGCAAATGTTTTTATTTTTCCGTTGTTCAAGCATAATATTATCTTGAATAATTATAAATAACCTGTGGCTATGAAACATAAGCCTCTCAATACAGGTTGATGAGTACTGTGGCGGCAGATAATTTCCTAAAGACAATAGCCTAGGTTTGGACGAGGTTCAACATTGATGCTGACCTTCATAGTTTTACCGGACTAGCTAAGCTGAAGGCACACGGTCAAGCATCCATGCCATTTGTCACGCTGTCATATTACGTTGAACCGCTCGTAATCGATCCTTTAGGCAGCTAATCGGTACTTTACCCTCGGTAATTTAGTACGACCTCTCAAATATACTATTCCTATCTGACTACGATAGTGTGCTCTTCCTTGATTTCGTATTCATGGGTATATTACAAGTACGAATAATTAGTGATTGGACTCTGCATCGGTGAAGTTCGCACAACGACAATTTCTTAAGTACTTATCAGTGCTGTTCACTTTTCAATCGATAGCACAGATGATGCTATTACCAAACAAAACAATACATAACTCCTCCAGGGAAAGAAAAGCAAATGTATTTATTTTTAACAATACATCCTACTGGATTACTTACTCAGTCAAATTTGAATCCATTATCAACATCTCACAGCCTTTATCATTGATTGTCGAGTTGATAGTACCTTTCATATCATAGTGAACCAAATCTCTCGAAGAATAATGTTTATCAGAAGTGGTAACAATAAAAGCAGAAGGTGGAAGTAACGCTTCACCACAACGCTCACTTCTCATAATTCTAAGTATAGTTTATCAAATAAAAAGACGTAATACATCAATCAATATGTTTTAGTTGAAAAACAGAAATCATGTTAAACAATGCACAAAACACTTATACTTTGCAGTATAATACTAGTTAAATGAATACCTTATAAGAGTATCCATTATCTTTAAAAAAATACTGGACTTTATTAAAGAATATTTATTGCTTATGATGAGTATGAAACATGTTTGTTTCCTTTTAAATTTTTCAGCCATTCATACAGAATAAGATCTCAAAAACAATCAATGTTACTGACTATAAGTATAAAGAGGACTATTATGATTTGCAAACGCAGCATATAAATAACAATACAATACTTTCAAGTAGAATATTAGAAACAATAAATCTTCATAATCCAGAAAAAAAACTTGAAAAGTTTCATCAATATACCACAGTACTCACATCTTAAATTATTATTTAAAACAAAAATCGAGTGAACTTAAACTCTTGTGACTCAAGCAATGAATATGAGAAAGAGCAGGATTTAATGAATTCATAAATTTCAGTAGCACTCGTCACCTGGATACTCTACATTCTTGTTTATATATATATATATATATATATACCGTTAAGCAGTGGAAAAGGATATACATACAGTACCTTCATTTTAGGAGCTTTGTCCCGATCCAATACAAAGTGGATGTAGTCAGAATACTGTTTAACACAGTCAGTAAAATTTGTTCCTACAGCACGAAATGATGACTTTGAAAAACGTGCTAGTGAAGTATGAGTACGCAGAAAGCTTTATCAATAAGCATATAAAGTGAGTAGGTAGCAGAACAACATCCCTAATAGTGTAGAAGAAACCAGTATATATCATCTTGCCATTCAAAGGTGACAAAAATGCTAGAAATAGTTAGACAAAGACTGGAGAAGTCTTTCAGAAGGATTTACTATGCTGCTAAACTCGTTCTCCTAAGCATCACCAAAAGGTTAATGTAACAATTAGTGGAAAACAGGGCTCCGATCCTCGACACATCTAAATGCATATGTCAATCTGAATGTACCTGCGAAAGCAAATACATTGGTCCTACGGAAATGTGTTTGTTTACTCAAATGGTTGAAGCATGACAAGAAGCTCGACAACGAAGGACTTAATGGACTATGGATATGATATTGATACCTGCAAGTCTTTAACGGTTATCAGTAGACAGTAAAATAAGAACTGGCTTGGATATGCATAAGCCTGCGCGATTTGAGTTGACAAACAAAACCTCTACATTCAGAAGGAAATAGTAGTCAGCCTGAATCTGCCATGGTAATACTTACAACATTGTCTAATCATATTTAATCTTTCTTGCTCTTCGCTCTTAATTATCAACCATCTAATATTTTGTTTTCCTTCCTTGATTTGTTTCACCTAATTAACCTTATACCTAATACCATTGTTATCATTACTCATTATCCATCTCAATATATACCTGGTTTTCTTATTATATCTGCATAAGTACTATTAACTATCTTGATAAATTGGTTGGTTGTGGCCAGCAGAAGAACCCAGGACGCGCGTTTCGTCCTATTTGGGGCTCGTCAGCTGGATGTACTTGCACCCCAGTGATGTTGTTACCACTGAGACTCGAACCTCGTACCCACCGCTTCAAACGCCATTATGCCACGCAGGAACGATAGCCACTTCTTGTAAAAGGGGTAGCAGTTATTACTATTTATTGACATGCTTGTTATTCTCCGTAGTTTCGTTGGATCGAATTGTTCGACCTCTATTGGCACATGAGCTCCTATGCGGATACCTCGACATTGCCTGAATGTTAATTATGATAAATTGGTTGGTTGTGAGAACATCACTGGGGTGCAGGTACATTCAGTTGACGAGTCCCAAATAGGACGAAACGCGCATCCTGGATTGTTCTGCTAGCCGCAACCAACCAATTTATCATAATTAACATTCAGGCAATATCGAGGTATCCGCATAGGAGCTCATATGCCAATCGAGGTCGAACAGTTCGATCAAACAAAACAACGGAGAATAACAAGTATATCAATAAATAGTATTAACTATCTTGTTTTCAATGCAGTGATCGACGCTCAATCGATTCAGTTCTCACCACGGTGTCAACATTATTATTGTTATAGTAATGATTGATAGTGGCTAGCAGTGGAATCCAGGACGCGCATTATTATTGTTATTATAATTATTCTCTTACCTGAAATCTACTATTATCCAAACTCAGTTAACCTATCCCCAACCCATTTAATTTTGAATATCCATTTTTACCTTTTTGTATTACCATTTGACCTGTTAAAAAACTGTTCACACCTAAATCTATCTCAGTCTACATCATATATGTATGTTCTTTTCCATTATCATTTGACTATCTGAGATAGACGTAGTTTGGCAGACTAGTATTTATATTGGGTGATGATTGAAGGTGAGATGAAAATCTGAACCGCGGCCGAATTCGAACCAGGGACTACCACCTTCAATCATCAACCAGTATAAATTCTTTTCCATTGTTTAACGGTATATACAATCAAGTATGTAGAGTATTCAGCTGACAAGTACTACTGAAATTTATGAATTCATTAGACCCAGCATTTTTCACATTCATTGCTTGTTTTAACTTTGTATCGGGAAAGAAATATTTTCAATCTTCTGACTCATTTTAACACTTTCTTCCTCTGTTAATTTCTTCATGATACTGCTGTAAAGCTGAACCAATTAATAGTTGTAATGTTTTATTTTATTCATTTACTTCTTTGATGTACAAAAGATGAGAAGTTATGCGTAATCAGTAAACGAAGATACATCGCAAGTTGTAGAAGTGAAATACGCATGCGTCTTAAAGATAAGGTAACTTTTTTCACACTAATGTCAAAGAAAAGTTCGCAAATAACGTTAGTGATTTCATTTTAGGCAACTCAAGAATCACTGTGGAACCATGAGGAGAACATATCAAATTTCTATGATTTCATTCAACGACAAATGGTCGCTACTTCCGAAAGCATACCGCAGTATTTAACTATTATTCACATGGTGTTGCTCCAAAGTTTTAACGACACCGCTGAAAAAGTAATGGTCGAACATATACTTATCAAATGCCTCAAGTTAATGAGAAACTGCGTATAGAGGCATTTTATATCCGACTTTCTGACAATAATCCACGAACATCAAAAAGCTAAGATATGTGATACAGATTCATATATGCCGACTTGAATTTTGCTATACAAAATTCGATTTTACATTCTCTATCCTCACAGTTAGACAATATCAACATGGGACCTAGCATGATGGCTCATGTTGTCATACGTCAACACATCTCGGAAGAAGTCATCAGGATGAACAGTGAAGAAATAGGAAAGTTTTTTTGAAGTGGCAAAAGTCGTAAAAAGAGAGGGATAAGGCAATACTGAAATTCAGTAGAACGATTAAGAAAATAAAGTGTGGATATATTTGTGCCAATGACATCAATTTTGAGATATAACAGATAGAGTATCCAACCACTGGCTTCCGCATTCACGTACACTCCAACCAGAAACTTTATATGACTCAGATCAACAGTCAGACTTCATGGACTTACGCCCAGTTTTACTCTAGACACCCCTAACCTTTTTCTAGCCTGAACTTACTTCAGCTAACATTGTAAAACGGGTTAGTGGTGACTAGGCATGCGTACCACGTCCAAACCACCGGAGTCAATGAGGGCTCATGACCTCATCGGTTGACTTTGAATTTACTGATGTGGTGACATCACGACATACAGTCTATGACAGTGATGGTTGAATATCTGTAGCGACCTTATTTCCTCTATCTTTAATGACAGTGTTTCACAGTCATGTAGCCGAACACAGTGAACCGCAGTGTAGTGTACTAGGCTTTAATAAGCAACTGGATATTATGAAGGCGAGAGGAACACTACCATAGGACTTTTTTATCAGCGAGGTCGAATACCACCTTCAGGTCAAAAAAGTACAGCTAGTGTACAATGCCGGGAGGTATGCTTGTTTCATGAATATATGATCAAAACACTAAAAACTAGGTATAGAATCTACCTGATTTCCTCAGACTTGCTGTTCCCGAGCTTAGCTTAGACTTCCAATAACGACAGGACCTCGGACTTTGGACAATATTGTCGTCAGACTAATTCCTCAGATAGACAGACAAAATCAACCTGATTATCACAAGAGGATTTCTCATCATTCTTGAAGACTGGAACAACCAATAATCGCGACCAGTAAGGCATCATTTCTGATTCTCATAAGCTAGGTAACACTAATTAATCTAACCAATAATTCTATATCCTAGTTCTTTAGTACCTCTGGTGCCAGTTCATTGAGGCCTTCTCAATTTCGACGTTTCAAGTTGCTCACAGCCTTTTTAACTTCTGGAAGTATTGAATAGCCTATTTCAGTGTTCTATTCAGGATCCGACTGGGTAGTGGAAGCTAGAACAGTGGCTGGAAGCCAGGTGAACTGTTCTTGGAAGCATTCCACTCATCATTCCAGTTAGTTAGCTGTGGACGCATTCCCCTTCCAAGATATTCTCACAAACCACTAGGGTTTTTCATCCCACTTCTCCTAATAAGTCTAAACACCTGTCTACCGTTAACTTCTGCGTTAACCATCTCTTTAGCCTTCACCGCCCACGGTTATTGTATAGAACCCCTATCAGTCTACATTTGAGTTGCTTCCGCTTCTCACTGCGCTCGGAGCCTGTCGGAATATGTTCACATGCATTCAATAATTCAGGTGAAGCTGCTGATATCTAATGACCTTTCTAACCACCACCTGAGTCAACTATGCTCTTCAATGCTGCTTTTACAGCAGACTCGAGATAGGACCAGGTTTCTCCTAGGTGAGTGACGTTATACCTACCGATAACTGTCTAGCTAGTTTTCCCCCAAAATCATCCTTCGTATTCTAACCACCGAGCTACACTCGAAATGGTGTTATCAATGTAGTCTTCCCGCGCTCATTTAGGTGCAGACACACACATAATTGAGCCAACGCGTGATCACCGTACAAACAGGAGTTTCAGGAGTGGCAATATCCCGTTGCTTTTCCCCAGAGATAACTGGTAACAATATGGCCTATGTGTTTACTACTCAGTTGAAGTCGGTGGACGCACGCCATACAATGTATCTCTTTATGTTTGAAGTTCATGCTAGTCAGAAAAAGATGGTTGTCTGGGTATAGTTGTAACAGGTGACTGCAGTTATCTGTTCATTCGGCTTGGATCTCAGAAGTGCCTTTCTAGAGCTGTGGCTCATTGGTTTAGGCGGTTAACTCCCAACCAATGAGTCGAGAGTTCGAATGCCGCTCCACCTACTGAAGTTTGCGCAGCCAGGCAGTATCATTATTCATCAAACGATGGGTGTTGTTCATCGCTTGATGGACGAACATGTACAAGATTGCTGAGAGCATTTCGATTCGCAGTGACTTCCTCGTGGACCTCACTGTGCATGGAAATCATCTGCTACGATAACTACATCTGAGCGGTAGAACTTATTCACACATCAAACCACACAAACTTTAGAACTTGGATTATTACAGATGAATTCATCAACTGGTTTGTATGACTAGAGTAAGATTTATACTTGTTTCATGAAAAATACTTGTTTAGAGTTAGGTAAGTACTGTAAAAGTAAATATTATTCACAAGTGGATTATTTTCCAATTTTCGTCGCATTTTAAAACAATATTATCTACATCCTTGGGTTCAAAAGGTGTTTCCCTGAGCAGCAGGCCTACATCTTCTAGTAATTTATGACCCACAAATTAGCAACGGCTGGTAAGATTTAATAATTATGCATAAACGTACTATTAAGATAATAAAGATATGGTTGTAAAACCTTTTTTCACCAGAGGTCTCAAGACATTAACTGATTTTATAAAAGACATCTCTGAGAAAATATTTCAGAAACACAAATCTGTATAGTTGAACGAAGATAACTCTCACAATGCAAAAAAAAAACCACCATTGTAGAACAATAACATAGTTTTAAAAGTAATGAAGAATGAGAATTGGATAGATGCTTGAAAATCTTAAAATCCAATGTATATTTCATGAGGACATTTTTCCCGCGAGTTGAACACACAGTGTACTACTGTATGACAATTACTACAACTACCTTCTGAGTAACTTTTGTATATACTGCACAAAATACTTCGAAAATAAAAACTACGGTGGTATCATCATAAATCAATGGATAGGTTTAACACATACTGGTGAATAGTGGCACTATCTTGAGAAGTATAATGAGCGAATTATTACTAATATTAGTACCATGATAACTCGATGGAAGAGTCAGAATGTTTATGGCGTAGGATGACGAATTATCGAGATAAAACTAACCAGAATTTGTGTTTTAAGCATATGCCACGGTTAAATATGATTTTCTGAGACAGATTCAAGTTTTAATTATGATAAATTGGTTGGTTGTGGCTAGCAGAAGAATCCAGGATGCGCGTTTCGTCCTATTTGGGACTCGTCGGCTGGATGTACCTTCACCCCAGTGATGTTGTTCCCAGTGAGACCCGAACCAAGAAACGCGCATCCTGGATTCTTCTGCTAGCCACAACCAACTAATTTATCATAATTAACATTCAGGCAATATCAAGGCATCTGCACAAGAGCCCATATGCCAATAGAGGTCGAACAATCCGATCCAACAAAACAACGGAGAATAACACGTATGTCAATAAAGATTTAAGTTTTATTTACTGAGATAAACAATAACTGATGCTACAATAAATCTTGAAAAGAAATCACAAGTTTATCACTTAAGAGCATCTAAGAGGTTAAGGAGAATTGTATTCCAATGTTATCTGAAGTAGGTTCAGACTGGAAAAAGGTTAAGGTTGACCAGATTGAAACATGGCATCAGTCCATGAAGTCATTAACAGTTGGTCTAAGTCATGTAGACATTCTGATTGGTGTATGTGTGATAGCAGGAATCAGTGGTTGGAGATTCTAGGTGATAAGACTAAAAATCAATGTCAGTGATACAGATGTATCCATACATCATCTTAAACTTATTCGCTATATTGAATTCAGCATTTTCTCATTCCGCCATACTCTCTTCAACTGTTTTTGTCCGATTCTTCTCCATTTTTTTATCGATCATCTTAATCCTTTCCCGCTTGATGTGATGATATAACGTGTGGCAACTTGAACTGTTATTTCGTAATGCTTAGTTCTATGTTAATATTGATGACAGTGAAATGCATAAAAATACTGCCCCTTATCGAAGTAGTTTTAACCTGATCATAAAATCACAACTTTAAAGAGATGATAGGTAAAAAACCACTTAAGCATGGATACACAATACAAAATATAGAAACAAACGTAAAATTCACATCTAGCATAAAGCTATCTTCGATCTAAAGAATCATTACAGTAATGTATTTTTGAGATGAGTGGGGATTTTTTTAATTTAGAAGTAGCATTCATCATGGATTGACATCAGTTGGGGAACCATTGAAAATCTGGGAGCACTGGACAGCTGTTTCCAGATGGATATCAGGAAGTCCTAATGAGAAGCCGTGACCTGTGGGGTCAACCAGTCGGAAGTGAAGTGGATGCTAACTGAAGACCTTGGGTAACAGTCGTGAATTGACAAAAGTTGGAAATTGTAAACCACTGGATACCAACCCAGTGGCTGAACGGTTAACGCGTTCGCCGTGAAACCTAAAGGTCCTGAGTTCGATCCGTAGCCAGGTCGTGGGTGCGTACTGCTGAGGGTCCCATACAAGGACGAAACAGCTATCCAGTGCTCCTGGGTTTTCAATGGTTCCCCAACTGATGTCAGTCCATGAAGAATACTACTTCTAAATCATTACGGTGTTATACATCATTTTCAGTGATATCCAAACATCGAATATTGTTTATTTTCAATAAGTCATAAACAACAATCAATAACTGTGTCACCATGAATGTCAATCAATTTATATTAGAGAGAAGAATGGGACGATAAACAGAACGATTAAGATAATAGAGGATTAAAATTCAAAAACATGAAGAATTAAGAATGACTTATTTGATCCTAATCTTGATTTTTTTTTAAATCAAGTTTCCCAAAGTAGGTGTAGGTATAAGAACCAATTACTTTTGTATACACAAAAATGGTTTCAATTTGCGTGTAGTTATTTGTTTTCACAAATCTCTAGGCTTCTAATTACATGAAAGTTGTTCAATAGCCCATCTGTATAATATGCTTGACTTGATACGGAAAATGCGTGATTAGATCGTTCAAAATATAATGCACAGATTATTCCAATAAACTTTATCTTTTACTTAAACTAGTCGGATTACATCGTAGTTATGATTTTCAAGAAATAAACAAGTCTACGATTTACACGAATAATTTAAATATTATCTCAAATCACTGAGTGATATAGAAAACAATGCTAAACAATTTTAAACAACTGCCTTGTACAATAAATGACCTGACTGCAACAACAACGACAAATCATTTGCTAAAAAAAAACATTAGACATTCATACTATGACACGATCCTATGCGAAAACAAGAAAAGACAAGGAAAGATATAGAGATAGAAATTTATTTGCAACTGAAGTAACATGTGAAAAAATATATATGAGTACAGAGAAGGTAAGTATGTACATCAACAAAATAAAATTCTATTAACTGAATTTTATAAAAATATTGTTCTAGGAGTATCTTGAAACTAGATTATGCAATCTATTTGATGTGAAGGATAAAAGATGAAATATTAACAGCTTCATATCCATGTCGATACATCGTCAACTGATATAATAAGATTCCAGCAGCAACTGATACATTAAGAGATGATGGGATACCCTGTGATATATATTGATTTAAGTTAGAAGAATCACCAAATCCTGGGATACGAAGTAACAAATCACATGCATTTAGAACACTGTTACTAAGACCTCTTGATTCACTACCTAGAGCCAATACCACTGGTCTAGGAAAGATTCCAGTATTGTTATCATCATTTACTCCTACCTGGAGTAATGAAAACGATGAGAGAACTTTAGAACAATAATTCAAATAGCTAAATACATTTAGAAAATTAATTTACCATCAGGAATGCTTTAACATAACCTCATAGTGGATTTCTAACAGGCAAAAACTCAGTAAGCAAGTCTAAAAAAATACCATAATAGATTTGTTTATTTGATATAAAGCGCACAGTGATACAGTATTATTTACTTGATAACGTTTCGAGCATAAATTATTACTGCTCATAATCATATCAATGTAATCACATTTCTTTCGATATCTGATTTTATAGTCCTGTCACCTGATTTTTCTTTGTTTTTTGATTGGTAATAAAGTTTTCCATATCTCTGGTATAAGTGTTGCGCCATTCCTATTACATGTGTTGGGTGTGGATTCGATGAACAAAGTTTCTTCAGTAATTAATCTCTCTCTTCACCTAGCTATATTAGACTTAAGTACAGTGGTTTTATCCCACCCTATTGTGTGGTTGTGTGCTAATGAATGTAATGCAATGACCGAGTGTTTTTCTAGATTATTGATCTTATTGGGGTCTGTCGTTCTATGTTTAGCTACATTCATTAACACACAATCGCACAGTAGGGTGGGACAAAACCACTGCACTTAAGTCTAATATAGCTAGGTGAAGAGAGAGATTAATTACTGAAGAAACTTTGTTCATCGAATCAACACCCAACATATATAATAGAAATGACGAAAACCCTATACCAGAGATATGGAAAACTTTATTACCAATCAAAAAACAAAGAGAGATCAGGTGACAGGACTATAAAATCAGATATCGAAAGAAGTGTGATTACATTGATATGATTATGAGCAGTAATAATTTATGCTCGAAACGTAATCAAGTAAATAACACTGTATCACTGTGCGCTATATATCAAATAAACAAATCTAATATGGAATTACATTCTACCACAGTGCTCAAGTTTTACACTTATAGTAGCAAGTCTAAAAAAAGCTGAAATGGAAGTGAATCTACCAGCCATGACCACGTTTCTACAGTAGACAATGAATGATACCTATTGTATGAAAGCTAGGGAAACTACCTGACCGCCCAAATCTTAGTGGGTGGAATGGAGTTCAAACCCATTACCAACTGGTAACAAGTCCAGCGCCTACAACAATAAATTATATACATTGATATACAGACTTATTTATACTCCTGACTAGTACAGTCCGTAATGGATGCAAAATTTGTTGCCTAACGAAAAGACTGAGAAAAATGACTGGTCAGTTTTGCTGATCACCATATCCTTATCGATGATGTTGGCGAAGGTTTGAAAAATGTAAACCTTCGTACTATTTACCTCGAAAAGGTGGACTATATATATATATATATATATATATATATATATATATATATATATATATATATATATCATATGTAACACATGATCCCTACATACATACCTGTTAATTCAGTAGGTTTGATAATATAAATGAAAGTATGTTGGAGTCACCCAATTCTCTCGCCATTTATTTGGGGATACTCTGACTTGATAGACAGTATCATTCAAACTGTTCATGAATAGTTGACAGAGAAGGTACGTAGTTCTAAATAAGAACTAGTTTATATGAAGTAATAGCAAACTTCTACCTACAGAAGTGAAAACAATTTTCCTAAGGTGACCATCCGTTTTATTCGGCTGATAATCGTGGATAGGGTATTTAAAAAACACCCAAGAATTCAGAGAATCAAGATGAAGAAGTAGGTAATCCACATCTTTGACTACCGGTTACACATATGTAAAGTAGTGTGAAGTATTAGGACAGTTCAGGAGACGGTAGTTGATAGGTCAGTAGCCTGATGAACCCTGTGCGGAAAGAAGCTAGATAATAAATGTAAATCAAGAAAGGTGAGGAAGTGCTTACCGGTAGGAAATGTTTTCGGTACGTAATATCAAAATGACACTAACTGCGAGGAATACATGAGATACATGTTTTAGTAGGTGCCTCGAGATGTATAATGAAGTATCTAAATGTTGAAATTCGTATCACTCTATTCTTATTCCTTCCTCATACATTCCCAGATTAATTTATTTAAGTTTTCTCTTTTTGGTTAACTTTCTCTTATGTGTTTTTGCAAAGTACCCTTTTGAGAAGCCTTTTATGGTGTTTTGCCTGTATTAAAATTCATGTCATATTGTGTACCTGTATTCCGTTATCAATACCATTATTAAACATGGAACAACGGATGATGACGTCATCGATTGAAGTGGCTTGGACATGTGCTGCGCATAACGAGTTACCACCTACCTCGACGTGCTATGCTAGAGGAATTTGGATTGAGATGGAAGAAGGTTTAGGATGGGCAAACTAAGAAGTGGCACCAGTGGATAAAATCCCTGACTGTTGGTCTCTGTCTAGGGTCCCCAAGAAGCTACGAACCAGTGGCTGAGGATTCTTAGTGACACAGTTGAAAACTGGTCACAATGGAGCAGATTTATCTACTCTGTTTATCGTTTTCTAACGCCTGAATGCTTGAATTAACCGTAACTTTTAAGTCTCTTTGCCTCTCACACACTTTTGTTTACTTTGATATCAGTCTTTTCTATACACTTGTTCTTGGTATACTACTATGAAGTGTGGCAACTTGAACTAATGCACTTGTGTTCGAGGTTCTGCGTTGATTTCGTCTCTGTCTAGCTTATCTGAAAAGTCACTACACATCAGTTGTGATCCTGTAGCCGACTAGCGATTTAATGCCACCACCAAAAGTGATGAAACTAATATTATTAATAAAACAGCTAATACCTCATTCGGTTGCAAGTTATTGACGGGTTTACAAATTCCACTTCGTGAACTCTGATTTTCTCCACAGGTACCAACTATCAAGAATCCAGCTTTCGATAAATAATTCATGTCCATTACGGTATCGGTCAGTCTGTAGAAGGGGATACCTTCCATTGCACCAACACTTAGCTTGCTGATAAGTGGTGATGGGCCAACACAGGGAGCAGTGGATAATATCACAGCAGATACACCGAAAAAAGCAGCTGAACGCAAAATACTTCCAAAATTCATGACATCCGACACATGGTCCAACAGTAAAACAATAGGTCTGTTATTTTTTTTCACGTGTGGAAAATATCTTTCAGATGGGGTTTTCCAAGATTGTAGCAATGTTTGGATCGACTGTTTTGAAATGGGCTGCACGTCGATGGGAGAGACCTCAAGTAGTACACCTTGATGTGCTCTTGAATTGGCTAATTCTTTCAATTTCTCAACTGGTACCCGTGTAACAGGTATGTCAAATATATGTGCCGTTTTGGTTATCTGATTCAGTGACAGTTCTACCAGATTGTCAGAATCTCTGGATTCAGTTAGGACATCCTTAATGTATAACTGCTTCAACTCACGCTGACGGAACGTAAGGGCACACAAAACAGGGTGAATTCCATACAGTAGCTCAAAAGGCTTATGAATAGTCCGACAAAATGTAATCGAATTATGGCATCTATAACCTAATTTAAAGAAGGACGCGTGCATTGGTAGACACCTGAAAATAGGAATAGGAGTCGACTAAAATAATAACTAAGGGGCAATTAACAAACAAAAGAATAAATAAACGCTAACTTCCTCCACTGAACTGACTGTTTTACCATTCAGTACAGCATATAAATTATGAAAATTAATTTAAGGAATCAGTAACAGTTCAAGTTGTGATAAATTCCTCAAGCACGATGAAGAATTCAAGGATATATTAAAAAACAGCAATAAAATTTTCTAACGGCCATATGTGAACGCAAACGCAGAACTAGGATACATCTTAAATCAAGTCACTGAAGACTTTCAGAGCGTAAATGATGTATCCCTCCTTTTCACGATTAACTGTAACATTATTTTAAGTTGGCTTTTCATCATAGACTGACATCAGTTGGAGGAACATTGGAACCTAAGAGCACTGAACAGCTGTTTCGCCCTAGTATGGGACTCTTCAGCAGCGCGCACCCACAACCCCGTCGGGGATCGAACCTGCGACCTTCAGGTTCTGTGGCCAGCACGTTGCCATTCAGCCACTGGGTAACGTCATATTGGGTACAATTCTAAACTACATTTAAACCTACTTAAATAACTAAAATTTCTTTTCCAAAGCAAACATGAGTGGTATTTTGGATATTCAGTTTAAACAATAAATTCTGATGATACGGTTAGAACGACAACTCAAGATACCGCAAAATGATTTGTATACATCACCGAAAACTAGTTTGGATATCAGTTTTCATGTTCACTGCATAATAGACACTAGACGGAAATCTTTCAGTTTTCTCATGAATGCTTTTAAAGTTAGAGCTAATTACAAACAGGCGGTTATCTAAGGCTTTGCAGCAAGTGATAAGTATTTACGATGAACTGGGTTAGAATACCAAGAAAACCATCTGAGTACTTTATTTGGCTTTGCTTCAGCAAGTGCGCCTTGCAGTCGCACACTACGACGACCACATATGAACTTTTAGTTTGTCGAATGAACTAACTTGCCTAAATTGCACAGAGGAAGTAGTCCTGTTAGGTGAAGGACTCTAAAGAAATGCAGATTCTGAACGCCTTCAGAGGAAGTCTGAGTGCTTGGAAAGTGGTTTGAAACTGTGGATGAGATGATAGTTGAGGACCAGTATACACTGAATCATAGTTTAAGGATTAGGAGTGAATTGGTGGAAGAGTTTGATAGCTTCACTTGGGAGGTTACATCAGTTACAGTGAATTAGTTGATAACAAAATCTCAGTTCAGATTTAACTTACGCCACTCATAGTGCAGGCGATATATCCAACTATACATAAAAGGAAGAATATACTCCACAGTAGTCCGCTCTGTCCTGTAGCATGTTTACGAGACAGTTAAAAGTAAAAGATAATAAGCTATAGGTCTTTGAAGAACTGCCTATGCGTCTAGCACCAATTTCAGACATAAAGAAAGGCACTGTCTGACCTGGCGTCCACCGAGCTCAACTCAGCGATGGACACAGATAGACCACATTGCTATTAGTCATCGCTGGAGAGGATCGGTGGAAGACTGCCGCTCCTTCTGGAGTACGTGTTTGGACAGCGATCATGCGTTGGTCCGAGCACGTATATGCCTGCGTCTCAATGGACGTAGAAAAAATTTGGCAACAAAACCACTACGAGTTCTGCTGGACAACGAAAACACCAAAGCCGTGTTCAGTGAGAAGTTGGCTAGGCAGTTATCGGAACAAAAGACTGTCACTCATCCAGAAGAAGCTTGGTGCCATCTTCAGTCTGCTGTAAAAGCAGCACTGAAGACTGTAGCCGACTCCAAAATAATGGCTAAAAAGAGCCAGTGGATATCAGCAGCTTCTTCCAAACTAATGGATGCACGTGAATGCATCCCTGCAGGCTCTGAGTACAATGAAGAGCGAGCGCAACTTAAAAATAGACTGACGAAAAGTCTGCGCAACGATCGTGAACAGTGGTGGGCAGCGAAGGCTAAAGAGATGGAAAAGGCAGCGGCGATCGGTAACAGTAGACAGTTATTTAGACTTATTAAGGAGACTGGGGGGAAATGGTCAACAACAGTTAGTGAGGCTATAGCGGAGAAGGACGGATCTGCGATTCACTCGCAGGGAAGACGACTGGGACGATGGGCAGAACACTTCGAGGAACAGTTTAACTGGCCTCCAGCCACGATTGCGCTGCCCGCTATCCAGTCGGACCCTGAATGGGACATAGAGACAGGCCCCCCAACACTAGAAGAAGTTGAGAAAGCGGTAGGTAGCCTGAAACGGGAAGGGCAGCAGGACCAGACGGACTACCTGCTGAGGTATACAAGAATGGTGGTAGAGTTCTCTTAGCAGGTTAACGGAAGTGTTAGCCAGTATATGGGAATCAAATACGATCCCCTCCGACTGGTCTAAGTCACTCATCATCCCAGTCTTCAAGAAAGGCGAGAAGTCCTCTTGTGATAACCACAGAGGAATCAGCCTGACAAACATAGTGTCTAAGATCCTAAGTTCTATAATTCTCCGACGCCTGAGTGGAGCTCGGGAACAGCAAGCCCGAGAAAACCAGGCAGGCTTTAGACCTGGCCGTGGATGTATCGACCAAATATTCACACTGCGCCAGGTCCTGGAACATAGGCATGCTTACAGACGCCCGACAATAGCTGTATTTCTCGACCTGAAGGCGGCATTTGACTCCGTTGATCGAGAAGTCTTATGGCAATGTCTGTCACTGAAAGGCGTGCCTAGTAAGTACATCACCTTATTGAAAGCTCTCTACTCGAACACTTGTGGGCATGTTAGAGCCTATGGTGAGTTGTCCAGGGAGCTATACTCATCAAGTGGTGTCCGTCAAGGATGCCCACTATCCCCATTCTTATTTAATTTTATCATAGATATTCTTATGGAGGTTTCCCTCTCGTCACCTAATTACACAGACGTTGACCCAATCACAGGTGAATTTTCTTTAGATCTAGAATATGCAGATGACATAGTCCTGTTAGGTGAAGACGCTGACAAGATGCAGAGTCTTCTGAACACTTTGAGTGGGAATTTGAGAATGTTTGGGATGCGATTTTCACCACCCAAATGCAAATTTTTGCTCCAGGACTGGTCTTCAGCGGTACCGCGGTTAACAATAGAGAGTGAAGTGGTTGAGTGTGTTGACCACTTCACTTACCTGGGAAGTAGGATCAACCCGGTGGGTTAGTTGCCGATGAGATTTCTGCACGGATACAAAAGGCTCGATTGGCTTTTGCCAATTTGCGCCACCTATGGCGCCGCCGTGATATTCGTTTGTCTATTAAGGGTCGCGTGTACTGCACAGCAGTCCGCTCTGTTCTACTGTATGGCTGTGAAACATGGCCATTGAAAGTGGAGGATACAAAAGGCTTCAGGTGTTTGACCACCGTTGCCTTCGTAGTATAGGACGTATTCCGTGGTGTCACCATGTGAGTAATGCAGAAGTTAGGTGTAGAGTTTTAGGGAGAAGAGGTAAGTCAGTCGACGAGGTTGTGAACCTTCATCGACTGAGATGGTTGGGACACGTACTACGTATGCCTAGTCACCGATTGCCTCGTCACACAATGTTGGCTGAGGTGGGTCAGGCTGGAAAAAGGCCCGAGGTGGCCAGACTAAAACATGGCACCAATGTATGAAGTCTCTGACTGTTGGTTTAAGCCATGTAGGACGATGCAGACTAGGTGGTTGGGGTCCACGGGACAAGAGGAACCAGTGGTTGGAGACCCTAGGTGATATGGCTCAGAACCGAAGTCAGTGGCGCAGATGTATACACACATTATCCTCATCTTAACAACGCTATACCGAATCTCACTATTTTGTCACTCCTCTTTCCTTTCTTCTCGTACTTTATATTTCTTTTGACTGCATTCACTTATCTTCATCCTTCACCTCACTACCTTTTTACTTGATGAACTGACGTGAGGTGTGGCAACTCGGACCGTAACGCAGTAATGCCTCGTCCTATGTTGATAATGATTGACTGCCTACGTGTCGTGGAATCATCGTATAAACACTGTCGAGGTCAGGCTCAAAATACCAGATAAGAAAAACAAGTCACTTGATGAAGTTAAGAACCTCTCATCGACTGAGGTGAAAGTGTAACTCAACCCAATACATTTGTTAATGCACTAGGCTTTGCACCAAACTAATTGTCTTAGGGCTTATGATGTTAACCCATTCCCTAGGTAAAAGGCGAAGTGGGTTTTGAACGCACGACGCTTTGGTTGACAACCAGATGCTTTAAGCAATGAGGTACATTTTCAGCGAGATGGGTTGGACATTTATCGCGTTTGCCAAGCGATCAACTACCTCGGTGTGCGATGTTAGCTGAAGTAGGATTGGGTTAGAAAGTTAAGGATGATTAAACTAAGATGAGTAGCTGTAAATAAATTATTTGATTGTTTGTCCAAGGCGTAAACTACCTGGCTGGGGTCCTCCAGACGACAGAAAAACACAATATGAACACAGGACCTGACATTAACGTGTAGCGGTTTAAATTGTCACGCCTCATACCAACACATCAAACGAAAATGCACCATGACGAAAGATAAAGAAATAGAGAAGAAAGCAACCAAGCGTTAGGGAATTGCGAAAACAGAACAAGGGAGAGTAAAACAATGATAAAATTCTTCGTGAGGATTAACATGAAGATATTGTGTGGATACATTTCTGCCATTTCGATCGATTCTGAGTAATATCAACCAGTCTCCAACCACTGGTTTCTCTTGTCACGCTGACCCCAACCAAGAAGTCTATATTCTAATACACACATCACACTAACAGTCAATAACTTCGTGAACTGATGCCATCTTTTAGTCTCGTCACCTCTAACCTTTCTCCAGCCTGAACCTATTTCAGGCGACGGTACAGACGGTGACTAGGTATCAGTAACACATCCCAGCCAACTGATTCGATGATGGTCCACAACCTAATCGAGCGACTTTCTTCTACTGCCAAAAACTCTATGTCTGACCTTTACATTATTGACATAGTAGCATCATAAAACATGACTAA